AAGAAAACAAAAAATAACGGATTTTGTAAAAAAATATCCTATGGTTTCATGGCAAAATTTCTGTCCCTGTCTACCACATGCTCTCCTTTTCAAGTTGCAGCTGAAATTCGTGCTCTTATCCTCGTCAGCCCACTCTGCAGAAGAACCTTAATATCGGATTGTTGTTCATTACTGATTCTTGTCCTGAATATGGCATGAAATATTTGTCCCTGAACTTTCAGTGACATGAAAAAACATCATCCAATCAATTAACCTGATTAAAATTCAACTTTCTGCTTTTGCAAAGACAGTTTAACACTAATGACCGTCCATTTTCAATCCATACCGCGGTCTGTGAACTGCTCTAAGGCTTTGTTTTGGACGCATCAATCGTTTGCCTCACTAGAAATCATGATTGGTCAAGCTGCGGCGTCTTACCCTGTTAGACAAGGTATCCGGTCGTTCCGTCCCCAAACCGATCCGGCCCCAAGTCGATCCGGCCCAAAGTCGATCCGTCCCAAGTCGATCCGGCCCACGTCGATCCGTCCCTACGTCGATCCGGCCCCATAATAAAATATGAATAAACTATATTGACTTTGGAGGATTTTGTGACAAATTTTAACAGTATAAATGGAATTTGTAAAAAGTATCGATGATGGATGACAACAGGTAAGTGAAGTATTGGAGTACCAGTCAAAGAATTATTTTAAATCGATACGAAAATGAGTGTGATTGTGTCTGTTTGTATAGCAGCTTCAACATATTAATATCAAGTTATTTTCCATGATAACTTTGAATGTCATGGCGATTTTTATTTTATTTAATTCACACACAGAATAGCTAAATAAATATTTACTGTCCAATGGAACCTATAAATTTTAACTCATCATAATGACTTGTTTAATCAAATCATTAGTCTATAATTGGTTTGTTTATTCAACAATTGTCTGATGATTGTGAACTAAGGTAATGCCACTCGTAATCACTTAATTCAATCAAATCCTGATTGATTAAAGTTACGTAATCAACAAGGTCTTTATAGTTTGATCTTTTGTTTGGTGTTATGTGTTATAATAATTAATTGTATATTTTTTTTCAGGTAACATCAGAGGCTTCTATAACACATTCTTTTTTTGTAATATCGAATATAGTCAATATATTTTTTTAAAGTTGACAATATTTTGAATAGTTGTGTGTAGATAAAAAAAAACAAGTTATATGAGTATCCATTATTCTTTATTGCAAGATAATAACAAAATAATTACACTGAATGCACATTTTCACTCTCTAAAATATAATATCATCTACTATAATATAACAATAAATTCATACACACTAACAAACACACTATCTCTGACACTCACATAAATATATATAACACTTAAATCATTTACACTAACAGTTACACTGTCACTTACATAATATAAAAGGGGTCACACTTGCAGCACTACAATAATACTTTATAGTACAGCCCGAAGAATGCCCTCAGATTTGAGGGAATATCAAATTTCACAACTGATTAGCTTCACAGTTTGAAGTCCTTGTAATTTATATATCACTCTTCCCAATAAACTGACCACAGATGTTACACATAGGTTATCTGATAAGAAAGTCAACATTTTGGCATTTTCTGTCTTTACTTGAAATATAAACATGATAAATATAAATATTCTTCATAAGATTTCGACAAATCTAGTCAGTGTTTTTTTTTTTTATTAATCATGTTCAGATACAGTTAAAGGAATGTAATATAAAGTTATGATTTTATTTTATTAATTTTCCATTTTTTTAAAATTTAGAATAGATCCATAATCTGTTGTCATTTTGAAGATTAATTTTCATTAGAAATGAATATTCTTTGTAATTTTCACATTTATTTTGATAAAATGTCATTTAATGATAAAAGGAAATTTCCTAAATATTTAAAAGAAATTCTTAATAGAATATTCATTAGGCAAAGACAATTTGGAAAAAGAACCCTCCTTTTTATACACCCGTTTATGAGAGGTATTATGGCATACCGTTGTTCATCCGTCCGTCTGTCTGTCCGTCTGTCGTCAACATGTTGAATATGAACTAAAAAATGCTGTAACCCATTTGCATGAAACTTTGGTAAATTGTTTATATCTATTGACGTGAGCTCCATTTCGTCTTTTTTATGAATTTTAGATTTTACATTTCCGAGTTATGGGGTTTTATTCATAAAAAAAAGTGATTTTCCTATTTTCGGACATTAACTCAAAATGCTTTCACCAATTTGCAAGAAACTTTGGTGAAATGTTTATATCTATTGACATGAGCTCACTTTAGATTTTTATAAATTTCAGATTTTACGTTTCCGAGTAATGGGGTTTTATTCCTTAAAAAAGGGGGGATTTTCAAGTTTTCGGACAATAACTCAAAATTGCTTTAAGCAGTTCTCATGAAGCTTTGGTGAATTGGTTATTTCTATTGACGTAAGCTCCCTTTCAAATTTTTATTGATTTTACATTTTACATTTCCCAGTTATGGGATTTTATGAAAAAAAGGGTGATTTTCCAGTTTTCAGACAATATCTTTAAAGTGCTTTGAGCAGTTTTCATTAAACTTTAATGACTGGTTTTTATCTATTAAGATAACCTCCTTTTACACTCTCATAAATTTCTGATATGGCATTTAGAAGTTTATATTAAACTTTATTTTTTGAAAACGCGACAGGCGTATCATGCGCTCATGGCGGAGCTGTTTATTGTTTTTGTGTTTAATTTTCATTTGAAAACATTCTTTCATATTTAAACTTATTTTCTCTTAATCTAAGCATTTGATCTCACTCTTTTCAATGCGATATAACAAAAAAGATGTTTATATACATATTGCCCCTATATTCAGTGGAAAATAAGGTGGAGGGTCCACTCCACATTTGCATATGAATAGAAGTAGGTAATATTTGAACCGTATATACTAAAAAACTGCAGAATATATATATATACAGTTTATATATGGATTGGTCCTGGACCCAATTGATTTTAATATAGTTATTCGAGTATCCCCATAAGTGAAATCAAATTCGAACCATTCTAAATATAACAAGAAAGGAAACATATAGGCTAGGGATACCTGATGAGGATAGTCCCAATTCTACGTGACCGAAACACAGACCAGATTTGGATTTCTAGTCTAAAAATACACACACAATAATTGTACTACAAGCATGCAAGTCGGAAATTCTAAAAAGAAATTAAGATAAATACTGAAAAATGTATTCCATAACAATAAATATTTATCCTACACCGAAAATGCCAGCTCTAAATATATGCACATCAAAATTGAATTAAATACAAAGGGTTATAATAAGATACACTGGATTGGTCCTGGACCCGATTGATTTTAATATAATTACATTGACACGTTTTATTAAAACATATAAAATTTGCTAAATGAGCAAATCTAAAATTTTTATCATAGCATTTCCAAATTAGCTGCAGAATTCCTATTTTCATCAATATTCAAAGAAAAATGAAATATATATATTTTTTAATTGAATTTTTGATGAAAACATTGCAAAAACGAGAAGAAGAAAAAAAAAGAAAAAACATTGTCTAAGAGAATATTTTGTAGATCTAAGAATATATAATGTATTTAGTGTAGGTGATATTGAAATAAAATAATCTTGACCAGCTAACCATCTGTGTTTTTTGATAACATCAGTGGACACCAACTGTGAGAGAAGCACTTAACCTAATCATTTAGTTGCTTGTTTAAACAATCAATTTCATGGTTTCAATGCTGAATATCAGGAAAAATCAGGGCTGTTCTATAAAGTAATAACATATACAGTAACTATCATACGCAGTACATATATAATATATAGAACTAACAGCACTATAATTGTTCAATTTGATTAGCTCACCAAGAACAAACGCACTATATATATTATTCTAAACATAAAGAATACTCATGAAGCATTTAATAAATAAATGTTATATAAACATATAGATTGTAGCCGCACTAACATAATACAAGTCATACAGTTCACTCAATGTCAATTAAATCACTCGCTGTCAGTGTCTTCTTCTGGTTCTGGGTCTGGCACAGGAATGTCGTACATGTGTCCGACGGCATGAAGGAAGAATAAGGTGGTGATGGTACCGTCTTGAAGTTGCTCCCATAGTGAAGAGAGGCGTCCCTGTGACCGTTGATACTTGGTGCATTGCCAACGGGCAAGACTCTGTTCATCTACCAGAAGCACCTGCCTCGAAACAGTTTTGGCTTCCTTGATGAGCGCTGGAACCATCTTGTAGAAGTGGAGTTTGTATGTATCAGCTTGGGGATCGGCTTGTACCGTTGTGTATGTAACTATTTGTTATTACACAGGATGAAAGACTTGTTAAGAAAACAGTCAATTGAAAGAAAATGCTAATTACTGCTGATTAATGTTGATGTCTGTTGATTGTACTAAATTCTGTTATATACGTTTTTATTATAATTATACCCAATAATCTTGAAAACTTGTAATGAAAACATAATCAACATAGTTGTTTTAAACTCATCTAAAGAAAATATTTGTCAAAGGCCAATTTTTTTTTACCGTACACCTTTTACATTATAATAAAATTCATAAACATTTATGAATTACAATTAATATATATCTTTATTTTTATTCCCTATAAATATATTTTTTTATTGGGCCGGATCGACTTTAAATATGGGCCGGATCGACGTTGGGCCGGATCGACGTGGGACGGATCGACTTGGGCCGGATCGACGTGGGGCCGGATCGACATGAAACCGTTAGACAATGTTAGAGGTACAGGGACTCCTAAAGTAACAGAAGATCTTACATTCGGGGAAAAGAACTCGACAGACAGACAGTTGTAATCGCTTAATAATTTGTTTGCGGGATATGAATATGGTCATTAGTACCGTTATTCCGAGGCACATATAAAAACACAATTGAAAAACTACAAGGTGTCTAACCGGAGTGAAAATTCATTCACTGTCCATGTTTGACTCTAAAATTACTTATCGACTGGTTTCACAAATTCCCGTAGTCAAAGGAAGAACATAGTAAGGAGATGAGAGAAGGAACCAGTGAAAGATGTAAACATGAACGAAAAGGAAAAGTTAGGATGTAGAGAAATTTTAGAAAATATACAGACAGAAGAACTACGTTTACTTACTGATACAGTTACAAAGAAACTAATTAAAGTTTCTTCACGATCAGGTATCACATCACTGAAGCAACCAAGGATATAATTTTGAGAAAGAGCTTTCATTTTCCTTCAAGCTCTTTCTCAAAAATCCTACATGCATATATAAACTTTTTCTTCTTTTGGAATATTTTATGGTGTCAAAGACTCCCGCTCTGTCCATAGCGTTCAATAGTTTAAGCTTTAGGATTGAAGCTGCGCCTGATTGGTTTTATACAAATTATGTATGACAGTTTTAAATGAACAACTTTTTAAGGTTCATCATAACATATGGACAAAAAAGGCTGGATTTACACCTCAAAAACGACTCTGAGTACAGACTTACCTGTCCAGTTGGAAAAGTTTTAAGGCCTGGCATCCAGTAGATATCAAAATATCAAAAAGTTTATATCTTTCTGAAACTCAAAATGCATTTAACTTTTATATATCCAGTGGATGCCAGGCCTTAATACTTTTCCAACTGGACAGGTAAGTCTGTACTCAGGGTAGTTTTTGAGGTGGAAATACAGCCATTTTTGTCCTTTTGTTATGATGAACCTTAATTAAAGGAGTTATTAGAATATTGCCCTTAACTTGCTATTTTGACCAATTTTTGTAATGGAAAAGAAAGAACAGTGTGTGTCAATTCTTGACATAAAATCAATATATGCACATTAAAAGATTAGGACTTTTTGCTGACCCATGATCTTCCTCTCAAAGTCACAGTGAGGAGCAAAAACTACTCGCCTCCTGGGAAGTTCAAGACAACCCCTAGTACTGGTTTGAGTTAATCTTTAAAAAATATAAAAGACAAAGAGATATGCCAACTCTGAAAAATAACCATCAGATCATGATCTACATACATGTTTAACCCTGTCACATTCTGTATGTGCTTAATGTTCATGTATTATAAGTTCCCAAATTGAAATAGCAAAAGCACAAATTTACCTGTATGATAATATAATTAACATTTACCTACATGCACACATGTACAATTATCTAAATATGCCTTAAATCATACCTGCCAACCCTCCCGTTTTGAGCGTGAGACTCCCGCTCAAATGGCGAAAAACGGGAAATCTCCCGCTTGCCGGTACCCTCCCGCGCGGGAGTATAGAATCTCCCCCTTTGGGATATTTTAACCTTGAATGATAAGTCAACAGTAATTACGTTTTTGTCTCACTGATTAGGGTTGTAATTACCTGTAAATCACAGACCATGTGAAATTAAATGGCTTCACTTGACAGCTTGGGTGTCAAACATAGTACTAATTAACGATAATTAACGACTTTTGAAGCAAAACACTTCAAAGAAATTTCGGGTTACTTCCCCTGTTTAATCCTGTTTTAAGTTACCCTTCTTAAAATAATGTGAATTGATAAAACAATATAAACTAAATTCAAATTAAACAAAGAATTATAAAAGAAGGGCAATTAAAAGATTTTGTATGCCTTAAGACAAAAAAAAATAATTATATTTTAAAAATCACTTAAAAGATCTAAACTTCTATTCAATGTTTATATTGAAATTAATAAGATATGTATTGAACCAATTTAAGTCAAATAGATAAGTGCACACACAAAATGCACCTGTGACAATATGATTGCTCTCTTATAACAGAGGGGTCTGGGATGAAAGTTGTCTGGAAGTGATTCAAATGTCAAAGTTGATGAAATAGGAATGAAACAAACAACACACCTTCTGTAGGATATAACCATATTTAAAGAAACAAAGTATATCTATAAACTCTTATATGTGTTTCGTAGATAAATAAATAAACAGGTCAGATATTTCACTTGAAAATGTCGTTCGCGCAAAATCTCCCCCTCAGCTGTCATAGCTGAGAGGGAGATCTCCCTCTTTGAAGGTTTCAGAGGTTGGCAGGTATGCTTAAATCAAGCAGTTGGTTTTCTCATTTTGTTGTGCCAAGGCTTTTAATACGACCGCAAAAAAATTGTGGTCGTATATTGGTATGACGTTGGCGTCGTCGTCGTCGTCCGAAGACACATTGGTTTTCGCACTCTAACTTTAGTTTAAGTGAATGGATCTCTATGAAATTTTACCATAAGGTTCAATACCACATAAGGAAGGTTGGGATTGATTTTGGGGGTTATGGTACCAACAGTTAAGGAATTAGGGGCCAAAAATAAGCATTTTTGTAACTTCCAGACATAACTTGTGTGTTAGTGTATGGATCTCTCTGACATTGTACCACAAGGTTCCATATCACAAAGGATATGCTGGGATTGATTTTGGGGGGTACATGTAATTGCCTCAAAATTTTAGGAATTAGGGGGCAAAAAACAAGCATTTTTCTAGTTTCATGATAATAACTTGTGTGTAAGTGTATGGATCTTTCTGAAATTGTTCTACACGGTTCCATATCACAAAGGGAAAGCTGGAATTGAGTTTGGGGGTAATTGCCCTGAACGTTTAGGAATTTGAGGCCAAAAAAGGGCCTAAAAACAAGCATTTTTTCTAGTTTCCAGACAATAACTTGTGTTCAAGTGTATGGATCTCTCTGATATTGTACTGCAAGGTACCATACCACAAAGGGAATACTGGGATTGATTTAGGGGGTAATTGCCTCAAAATGTTAGGAATTAGGGGCCAAAAAGGGGAAAAAAAACAAGCATTTTTCTAGTTTCATGACAATAACTTGTGTGTAAGTGTATGGATCTTTATGAAATTGTACTACAAGGTTGCATATCTCAAAGGGAAAGCTGGGTTTGAGTTTGGGGGTAATTGCCCCAAACGTTTAGGAATTTGGGGCCAAAAAGGGGCCTAAAAACAAGCATTTTTCTAGTTTCCAGACAATAACTTGTGTTCAAGTGTATGGGGCTCTCTGAAATTGTACTGCAAGGTACCATACCACAAAAGGAAGGCTGGGATTGAGTTTGGGGGTGATGAATCATAAGGGGGGTCAAAAAATTTGGGGGGAGGGATTTTTTTTCCTTTTTTTTTTCTTTAAAATTTTCCGTTTTTTAAAATTGGTTATTCCTGATTTATATATAAAAGCAAATAATAATGATATGGTTTGAATAGGTAAATTAAAATTTTTTAAGTTCTTAGACCACATTCATTCTGTGTCAGAAACCTATGCTGTGTCAAATATTTAATCACAATCCAAATTCAGTGCTGTATCAAGCTTGAATGTTGTGTCCATACTTGCCCCAACTGTTCAGGGTTCGACCTCTGCGGTCGTATCAAGCTGCGCCCAGCGGAGCATTTTATTAGAGCTTACTATACAGCATGGGCTGTGCGCACTGTTGAACACTGTATAGCAAACTATAGTTGCTCACATCCACATCATCTGATGTCATGTGGATAGTTGTCTCATTGGCTATCATCCACATCTCCTGTTTTTTTAATTTTGATTTTAAGTAATGTTCATGTATACAATGTGATTAAATCACTTTTAAAAAGCTCCAACCATTGTAAATGGTCTAGATATATTGTATCTAGTGGTCTAGTTCTGATAAAAAATGAGCATATTAAACAGGAGAGCAATCTGATTGAATCCATGCCTTGGTTACACAGACCTGTTGTTAGTAAAGTTTGGACACAGGATCTGTATTCCAATCAGATTGAATGGAGAGCTTATTATTGTTGTTGAGGGTCAATTAGAAATGTAAGCAGTTGTTTAGAAGAGTGGTGAAATAAGTTGTGGATACACAGAAAAAGTGTGTGCAGCAAAAATTACAAAAGATACTTAAATCCAGAAAAGCGCTTCGGACGCATGAAATTATCAAACGTGTTGTTTTCAATTTTTTAACTACATATGTTGCATTACTTGCGGAGTTAAAACATTGAACTATAAAAATGTAAAACCATTGGTAAAATGAATGAGATATTGTTTTTTTTTTCACTGTTTTACATTTTTAAAAAGTATGTTTAGAAAATAACAAACCATTTCAGGCAATAAACTTAAATTGAATAGTTTCAATTTTGACGCATTTAATATATGCAATGTCAGAAATGTAATTTCTGAAATGTAACATTGGCTCAAATAAACAAACAAAATGCCTCGTAGGATTCTCACCTATTTTTCTTACATTTGAATTCAATAGCATAGAGGTTATTGTGTATATTATAAGTTACTGTTGTTATTATAATCATATGATATACTTCCAAAATATTTTGAATATCTGATAAAAGAACATTTAATTGATATATTTATTAAAAACATTTTGAGATTCATATAACATGTAGGAGCAAAAGTTCATTTTCTGGGACAATCCCTTTAATGTTTACCAGACAATTTAGTAATCAAGGAATTTACATTGTTTAGAATTTATTTTTTTTTAATTTTCAGAGGCAATATCAGCCATATTGACTTATTCTCAATCATCATGTGAATTGTTGAAGAGGAAGAAAATTAAAAGGGATCTATTGTTTAAGTATTTGGTAGACAAAGGAATAGTTGTATCTGTTAGTTCAGACAAAAGGACAATCATTGAAAGACTGTTAAAGACATGGGGAACCAAAAATATAACAGCTTTAATGACGGTAATTGTTTATAATTAAACTATAAGTTATTATAAAGAAGCATCTAAATATTTTGTTCTTTGCATTTTGAAAAGCAAAAACATTTCAGTTTTTATACGACTGCAAAAAAAATTTGCGGTCGTATATTGGTATGACGTTGGCGTCGTCATCGTCGTCAGAAGACACATTGGTTTTCGCACTCTAACTTTAGTTTAAGTGAATGGATCTCTATGAAATTTTACCATAAGGTTCAATACCACAAAACGAAGGTTGGGATTGATTTTGGGGGTTATGGTACCAACAGTTAAGGAATTAGGGGCCAAAAATAAGCATTTTTGTAACTTCCAGACATAACTTGTGTGTTAGTGTATGGATCTCTCTGACATTGTACTTCAAGGTTCAATATCACAAAGCTTAAGGGAATGCTGGGATTGATTTTGGGGGTAGTTGCCTCAAAATTTTAGGAATTAGGGGGCAAAAAAGAGGCAAAAAACAAGCATTTCATTTTCAGTTTCATGACATTAACTTGTGTGTAAGTGTATGGATCTTTCTGAAGTTGTACTACAAGGTTCCATATCACAAAGGGAAAGCTGGAATTGAGTTTGGGGTAATTGCCCAAAACGTTTAGCAAAAAGGGGCCAAAAATAAGCATTTTTCTAGTTTCCAGACAATAACTTGTGTTCAAGTGTATGGATCTCTCTCTGAAATTGTACTGCAAGGTACCATACCACAAAGGGAAGGCTGGTATTGATTTTGGGGGTAATTACCTCAAAATTTTAGGAATTAGGGGCAAAAAAGGGGCAAAAAACAAGCATTTTTCTAGTTTCAGGACAATAATTTGTGTGTAAGTGTATGGATCTTTATAAAATTGTACTACAAGGTTCCATATCACAAAGGGAAAGCTGGGTTTGAGTTTGGGGGTAATTGCCCTAAACGTTTAGGAATTTTGGGCCAAAAAGGTGCCAAAAAACAAGCATTTTTCTAGTTTCCAGACAATAACTTGTGTTCAAGTGTATGGATCTCTCTGAAATTGTACTGCAAGGTACCATACCACAAAGGGAAGGCTGGGATTGAGTTTGGGGTGATGAATCATAAGGGGGTTCAAAAAATTTGGGGGGGGGGGGTTTCCTTTTTTTTCTTTAAAATTTTCCGTTTTAAATTGATTATTTCTGATTTATATATAAAAGCAAATAATAATGATATGGTTTGAATAGGTAAATTAAAATTTTTTAAGTTCTTAGACCACATTCATTCTGTGCCAGAAACCTATGCTGTGTCAAATGTTTAATCACAATCCAAATTCAGAGCTGTATCAAGCTTGAATGTTGTGTCCATACTTGCCCCAACTGTTCAGGGTTCGACCTCTGCGGTCGTATCAAGCTGTGTCCAGCGGAGCATTTTATTAAAAATTTTACTCATCAAAATTGCCTGTGATGCAAGTCTGAAGATTTATATTTCAAAGAATTGTGAATTTGACATATTGTTCTCTATAGTAAATTTGATGAAAATATCTTTTATTTTTCACACAATTGTACATGTATAAATCAGAAAGTTTTCTTTTGACAAATGCCAAATTTTGTCTACAGGGTAAACACTTTGTTTATTGCAGAAAGCCAATATTTTTATAGTTTTTTCTTATGAGCAAAAAACATTTTTAAGTTCTTGTGATGGCATTTCACACAATTATTTAGCTTCATATGAAGATATAATTTGCACATATAATTACATTTAAATAAATAAATCAGACATGTCAGATATGATTTTTCTATACAAATTTCTTACAAATACAAAAAGTAAGATATGTGCCTAATAGTATTGCTAATATATATATAAGATCATATAATACATTATTTCATTTCAGCATGAAATAATGTCTTTACTCAGTGATCTAGCATCATATTTTTTTTGTCCCAGAAAATTGAAATTTTGATCATTTTCATGGGAATATATATATAAGATCATATAATACATTATTTCATTTCATCGTGAAAAAATGTCTTTACTCAGTGATCTAGCATCATATTTTTTTTGTCCCAGAAAATTGAAATTTTGATCATTTACATGGGAATATAATAAGTCATCTCTAAACATACATTCCCTATGAAGCTGAGCCCAATGACATGACAGTTTTGTTGTTTAAATTGATAATTAAATTTAAAAAAAAGAGTCCAACACATATTTCACCCTAAAAAAATTTTGGCAGAAAGATTAGACCTTTATATGCATGAATTATTAACTTGCTGTCAAGCATGCATTATTACAATGTTATTATAAAATCAGCTGTTTGTTTGGCTCCAAATACTACTTACATATACTGTGCCACAAACCTAGCACAAATACATAAAAAAGTACATATTGTAGCCAAACCTAAAGGTGATTTTTTTGTCTTGCCTGCGACGAAAGTAGCAGAATGTGAGACATAGGAATTACTATCCAGCGGCTGTGTAAACTATTTGTATAAAGCTTTATATTTTAAAAGGAAGAAAACCTGGATGCTTCATACCTTAAGCTTGTATACAGATACTTTATGCTACAAAATTTCTGTCTTTCATATGTTTGTTGTCCTTGACCTCATTTAAATGGCTTAGTGACTGCTTGACCTCATTTCACAAATCAGTGATCAAGGTTAAAATTATGTGATTATGTCCGTTTCTTACACACTATAAGCAGTATGTCAACTTTATTTGGTGTATAGAATGATTGTTAGAGGTACAGCTCAGTCTGGCAGGTTTTATCTGACCTTGACCTCATTTTCAATGGCTCATTGGTCAATGTTTATTTGTTGTGTTTTGGCCTGTTTTTCAAATACGATAGCAATAGGTCAACTATATTTGGTGTATGGAATGATTGTAAGGTGTAGATGTCAGTCTGACAGGTATCATTTGTCCTTGACTTCATTTTCGTGGTTCATTGGTCACTGTTAAGTTTCTATTGTTTGGTGCTCTTCTCAGATACTATAAGTAATAGTGAATATATATATGGTGTATGGGATGATTATAAGGTTAACATGTCAGTCTGGCAGTGTTCATCTGACATTGACCTCATTTTTATGGTTCATTGGTCAATATTTAGTTTTTCTGGTTATGTCTGTTTCTGAGATATTATAAGTAGTAGGTCAACTATATTTGGTGCATGGAATGATTGTAAGGTATACCTGTTGCACTGTAGTGTTTCATTTGACCTTGACCTCATTTTAATGGTTCATTGGTCAATTTTAAGTTTTCCTGGTTGAGTGTTTTTTATAGACTTTTAGCAATAGGTTTACTATATTTTGTGCTAGGAATGATTGTAAGGTGTACATGTCTGTGTGTCATGTATCATCTGACCTTGACCTCATTTTCATGGTTCATTGGTCAATGTTAAGTTTTCATGGTTTGGTTTATTTCTTTGATACCATGAGCAAATGGTTAACTATATTTGGTGTATGGAATGATTGTAAGGTGTACTGTCTGCCAGGGATTGTCTGACCTTGACCTTATTGTCATTAATCCTTGATAATGTTAAGTTTATGTGGTACTTGTAGTAAAACCTGTATTTTTAAGACTGACAACATTATATCAATCATGGTAAGTAAAGCAGGCGAAACATTTCAGCGTGTAAACTCTTGTTTAGAAAGTCAATAATTTTAGTTGAGTTCAACAGCCAATATGAAGTATACAGCGTTGACAAGGTGGAAATGTAATTTTTGCATTGATTCAATGTTAAGATTCGGTTTTTGCACTCCTTGGACCAAATTTTGAATGCTTAAACACATGACAATACAAAGTATATATAAAGTACAATAATTTTAAAAGAACAAAATCCATGTTTCATTTTTATTATTTTCAGTCTTAAATTCATATTTACAACACCCTTTTGACATCTACACGAATCAATTTTAAACATTAAAATTTTGTATTTCAGCATTATGACGAGGATATGCCATCAAGCTCATCATCTGAGAATTTTTCTGAACCTCAAAGAAATCAAGTTATGATACCACAAGCAAACAAAACAGAATTAACTACCTTACCAGGGTCAAGTAACCATAGCAACGCTTGTGCATCTGCTAGTTCAAATGCAACTGACCTTCAGCTTTTAGGAGAAACCTTTGCACGATGGTTTTATAAAGTTTTAAACAGTCAAAACCCACATATGGGGGTGAGTGCAGAAGAATTTGGGCCATGTCATTTCTGGGATGAAGCTAAATTGATGTTATTAATAGTGACAGATGATCAGTCTACAAAAGATGAACTTTCAGGATCACAATTTGTTTCAGATAGACTCCTGTTATTTACTAAGAGTGAATTTTTGTTATTTAATCCAAATATTAGCCGTGATGGAGTATATGTTAAGTCTGAGCGCCATGGAATGGTAGTTGTATTAGTTTGTGGAACAATTCATAGACAAAATCAACATTTAGGTGTGTTTGATCAAATGTTTGGATTGGTGAAAGATCCTAGATTTAATGACAATTATAAAATAAAGCTGACTAAATTAAAACTTCATAACATCAATGTTGATCATGTACCAGCACTAAAGGATAGACCTGAAAGTGAAATAAAAGATTTAATAGCAGTATAATGTTAAACGTATAAGAATATAAAGTTATAAATGAAGTTTGTGATATAGAAGAGGAACTTTTTTAAAAACATTGCTGAAATTTTAAAAGAAAAGTGACTGTTTGTGTTAAATACCACATCCACAAAAGATTCAAAATAATAATGCAGAGTCTTTCAATTTTTATTTAAAAATACATAATTTTGTTGTGTAGAATGTGTTGATTTTACTAATGTATTTGCTTTTTCTGAAATTTATCAGTTTTGAAATGGCATTATCACATAGTTGACTTTTCCATATACTAGTATATGCAATGTACATGTACATGTATCAATGATTTTAAGATATTGCCATAGATCAGCTTCATATATCCTCATTTTTGTGAGAAATTGCTTGCCATTGCTGTCAATTCCATGGTCTCTGCTAGAGAATAGATTATATTTCTTGAACTTAGAGTAAACTTATTTTCCTTTTAGTGGAAAATTCCCGTTTTCAAAATTAAGTTATTTGATTTCCTATTCAATGATGTATAATGGGATGGATAAATCTCAAAAAAGTTCTTTATCCAATTTATAATTTTATTGGTCAGCTGATTATTTGTGTATTTGAGTAAATGGTCTATGAGACAGCAACCCAATGACTAAAATACCTAGTATATATACAACGATCATCATACTACATGTATCTTCAACAGTAGGTAAATGTCTTTGCAATATGTAAAGCTTTGACATAGGCCTTGGTTCAAAACATTCCATATAACAAGTAGCAAAACATTTAAATAATTTAAGATGTCAGAACATTACTAACAGATAAAACTAAAGATGATAGTATCAAACTATAGTAAAATATGTTTATTGACACATATTCAAAGCAAATACATTTGAACAGAGAATTTGTTGTTCATATATGTTATTCACTATATAAATCATTCACTGAAGCATACAGAAATTATATAAACGGTGATCAAGAAATTATTACCAGGAATACCTCTATTTATATACTGAAGTTAGTAATTTGATTATCTCCCCTTTTACATGTTGAACCAGTATTATATTCCTCATTATGTGGTGAGTGGTAGGGATGAGCTGCTGTGAAAGGTCACTATTTTAAGCTTAATGCTATATGACAAGGTTGAGAAATTTAGATTAAATGTATGACAAGGTTGCTGATTGAATCATATTAATTATATAAGTATCTGAAAAGTGGATTTTTTTTTCGACATAGGCCAATTTAAATCAGTCTTCAAGGAATTTGATTAAGCTTATCAAATATTTGTCAAATCTATGAAATGGCATAATCATGATAGCTATATGTATATATTTTGTGAAAAAATATACGAAAAGGGTATGTATTTTTGCTATTCAAAATATATGAAAAGGATGGGGTACTGGATGTCTCAGCTGCTCACCCCTATGATAACATGATTGAAGTGCCCCCTCCTTTTCCAACATAAAATTATCAAAAGTATGATTTGGAGGGAAAAGGCTGTCAAGTTCTAAATCATGACTACCTATATACCTATCATCCATGATTTCCATTACTATTGTATTTGTTCTTTATGTGGTTGTATTTACTATCAACATATCTGTTTCTTCAATATCAATTTCAGCTTTATAAAGTATTTCTTGTCACCAATTTCAGCTTAGAAGATTTTGAAAATCCTATTTGATTCTGGCATTTAAGAAAAATAAATAAAAAATGTGAAGAAAAAAAAAACACAAATTGAAAAAATTACACCTGCTCTATCCAAAAAAGATTTTGACAGTGTACATGTAGTGTACTACTTTTTGGACAAATTATAACAAAATTATACAAAAAGCCTATCGACTCTTAACTCAAAATATGGACAATTTTATGTTAAGGGGTCTATAATTCAGTTTGACAGCTTTGACATACTAATTTTTATCCTTTTCAAACTGGACCAAATCACTACTTTATCTAACAATTCATGCCCCAATTTTTTTTACATTTAATTTCATCCCCTATACTTACAATTTTATGCATAAAATATAAATAAATAACTTTGGAAGGGTTATGAAAAAATTTGCAAGTTACGCACTGTCTACACCAGGAACGACAAAAAATCAAAGGACGATAACTTTGACCTCAGAACATTAACGATTTGATAGTAGGTTGCTTAACATCTAGTGGCAAATATTTCATGCACAGAACATAAAAGATGACTACTTAGTCAGTGTGGCATAACCCCATCTAAGAAGGACCTGCACTAGTTTTAAATCAAAATAGATTTGATAAGAGCCATTATTGAGGGTGGGGTGGTGGTCTTCATTTCATTGTTTAATTTTTAGCTCACCTGGCCCAAAGGGCCAAGTGAGCTTTTCTCATCACTTGGCGTCCGTCGTCCGTAAACTTTTACAAAAATCTTCTCCTCTGAAACTACTGAGCCAAATTTAACCAAATTTGGCCACAATCATCATTCGGGTATCTAGTTTAAAAAATGTGACCGGTGACCCGGCCAACCAACCAAGATGGCCGCCATGGCTAAAAATAGAACATAGGGGTAAAATGTAGATTTTGGCTTATATCTCTGAAACCAAAGCATTGAGAGCAAATCTGACCAGGGTTAAATGTTTATCAGGTCAAGATCTATCTGCCCTGAAATTTTCAGATGAATCGGACAACCAGTTGTTAGGTTGCTGCCCCTGAATTGGTAATTTTAAGGAAATTTTGCCGTATTTGGTTATTATCTTGAATATTATTATAGATAGAGATAAACTGTAAACAGCAATAATGTTCAGCAAAGTAAGTTCTACAAATAAGTCAACATGACCAAAATGGTCAGTTGACCCCTTAAGGAGTTATTGCCCTTTTATAGTCAATTTTTAACAATTTTTCGTAAATTTTTATCTTTTACAAAAATCTCCTCTGAAACTACTAAGATGAATTTAACCAAAGTGGTAAACAATCATCATTAGGGTATGTAGTTTAAAAATTGTGTCTGATGACCCCGCCCGCAAACCAAGACGGCCGACATGGCTAATAATAGTACATAGGGTAAAATGCAGTTTTTGGCTCATATATCTAAACCCAAAGCATTTCGAGCAAATCTTTCATAAACAAAATTATTCATTAGGTCAAGATCTATCTGCAGGCCATAATCTTGCCGGCGAAATGACGATTTAAGTCACCAAAGAATTTTCAAAATCGCTAAATCTCAACTGCAGATGCTAGCACAATTTACAGTGCTATGGTTTCACATTTGGCTGAGAAAGGTATAGACATCAGTCGCCTCATTGGCATAGGCACTGATGGAGCCAGTGTAATGACTGGCAAGCACAACGGTGTCATTAAAAAGTTTCAAGATCAAAATTCAGAAATTCTTGGTGTTCATTGTTCAGCCCACCGTTGTGCACTGGCTACATCTCAAGCTGCTCAATTTGTCCCTGATATCAAGCACTACTCAAGGGTTTTGTCAAATATTTTTTATTTCTTCAGTGGTTCTGCTCAGAGAAGCAATAAGTTAAGAGAAATTCAGTTATTGTTAGATGTACCTCAGCTGAAATATGCTGCTATTCATACTGTCAGGTGGTTAAGTCTAGATAAGGCTGTTAATGTTATTTATAGGACATATCCTGCTTTATGTGTAGCTTTAGAGCATGAGGTTAGTACAAATACAGCAGCCAAAGGTCTGGCTCATGAGGTTCAACAGTATAAATTTATAGCCATTACACATATGTTGTTAGACATTTTGCCTATATTGTCAAGGTTGAGCAAAATTTTTCAGAAAGACTGTGTAGATTTTAGCATTATAAAACCTGTTGTAAATAGCACTGTTAGTTGTTTGTCAGATTTATGTGTAGACAAGGGAGAATTTGTAAAAAAGTTAGATCAGTTTGTTAAAGTAAGTGATGGTAAAACCTTGTACATTAGACCATCAAATGAATGTAGCAAAAGTGTTGTTGACAATTGTATTTTGAAAAACTCTGGTGATGATGTTGAATCAGATGACTGTGATATTGATGAGGTAGATGTAGATCAAGATGATCTGAATAGTATTGAACTTAAGTATTATGAGCAGCAAAAAATGTAGTAGACAAAGATTGTAAATTATATGTAGATAAAGTTTGTGAAAACCTTCAGGCAAGGTTTGGGTCAGATACAGATGTATTGTCAAATTTTCAAGTGTTATTACCATGTAATATAAAGTTAGCACATTGTCAGTCAGGTTATGGTGTAGATGAAATTAGCTCATTGTATGATCATTTTGAGAAAACTCTTGATGTAACCAAACACAAGGTGATTAGTGAATACAAACAATACAAAGGTATCATCATGGGTGCTTATACAGACTTATCACTAAAGCAAGTGGGCAGCATTTTTACCAGCAAGTATGTAGACATTGTACCAACAATTGTAGTGCTATTAAAAATTGCTATTGTTATACCAGTTTCTAGTGTACCATGTGAGAGAGGGTTCTCTACTCAAAACAGAATTGTTACCAGCTATAGGACATCTGTAAACTGTAAGACATTAAATACTTTAATGACAATTAAAGAGCACAGACAATCCATTAAAACATTCAACTTTGGTCCTGCATATGGCATTTGGAAGAAGGCAAAGAGCAGAAAAATCTACAAGTATTAGTGTACTTAGTGCTAAGACTGGTTGAACTTTGAACTGTGATTTGTAGACTATTGTGCTCTGTTTTGTATTATATTTTTTATGTAGACTAGTGCTTGTATAAGTATTTATTAAATGATGTATGTAGTGCTTGATAAGTATTTTTTGAATGATATGTAGTGCTTGATATATATATTTATATTGTAATAAAATATATGATTTGAATCTACTTTTATTTATATATATGTGCCATTGAAAACAGACACACAAAAAAGTGCAACCGATACGGCGAATCAACTTCTCCAGAAAAAATGACCACTTCTCCCTAATCCATCCTGGAAGGAGAAGTCACTTCTCCCTCTTCAAAATCCTAGATTAGGCCCTGTATCTGCCCTTAAATTTTCAGACCATTCAGGCAACCCGTTGTTGGGTTGCTGCCCCTGAATTGGTAATTTTTAGAAATTTTTTCAGCTTTTGGTTATTATCTTGAATATTATTATAGATAGAGATAAACTGTAAACTGCAATAATGTACAGCAAAGTAAGACCTACAAATAAGTCAACATGACCGAAATGGTCAATTGACCCCTTAAGGAGTTGTTGCCCTTTATAATCAATTTTTAACAATTTTCATAAATTTTGTAAATTTTTACAAAATAACTCCACTGAAACTACTGCCGCCAAGTTCATTATAGATAGAGATAATTGTAAGCATCAAGAATGTTCAGTAAAGTAAGATCTACAAACACATCACCATCACCAAAACACAATTCTATCATGAATCCATCTGTGTCCTTTGTTTAATATGCACATAGACCAAGGTGAGCAACACAGGCTCTTTAGAGCCTCTAGTTTAGTCCTACATCGCTATTATTATACGACCGCAAAAAAATTTTGCGATCATATATTGGTATCATGTCTTCGTCAGCGTCGTCTGAAGACATTTGGGGGTCACAATTTATTTTGCTAATTCTTTGAATATAGTCTGAAAACAGATTTACTAAGTATTGCACAACAGCACAGTGTATTGCACAACAGCAAGAAATCTTCAATTGAATATAAATTCAAATCATACATTTGGATTCCGGACAATAACTTTAGTTTGAGTGTATGGATCTCTATGAAATTTTACCTAAAGGTTCAATACCACAAGTAGAAGGTTGGGATTGTTTTTTGGGGTGATGGTCCCAACCCTTTGGGAATTAGGGACCAAAAAGGGTCTTAAATAAGCATTATTTTAGTTTTAAGACAATAACTTGTGTTTAAGTGTATAGATGTTTCTAAATTTGTACCACATTTTACAAAAAGAAATTTTCTTCAAAATAAATTTTTTTGGAAAGGGGGATGGGGGTGGTAAAAAAAAATTTTTTTTGGGGGTGGGCAATTTTTTTTCCTCAAAAGAAAATTCTCTTCAAATATTTTTTTTTTTGGAAGGGGGGAGGGGGGGGGGGGGGGGTAAAAATAATTTTTTTTTGGGGGGTCAATTTTTTGTTCCTCAAGATTTAAGAAATTGTCAATTTTCCAAAGAAAAAACTTGGGGGTCACAATTTATTTTGCTAATTCTTTGTATATAGTCTGAAAACAGATTTACTAAGTATTGCGCAACAGCACAATGTATGTATTGCACAACAGCAAGAAATCTGCAATTGAATATAAATTCAAATCATACAACCAATTTCACGTTCTTTGACTACATTTATTCTGTGTCAGAAACATATGTGTCAAATATTTAATTACAATCCAAATTCAGACCTGTATCAAGCTTGAATATTGTGTCCATTTTTGCCCCAACTGTTCAGGGTTTGACCTCTGCAGTCGTATCCAGCTGCGCTTGGTGAAACAGTTTATTTATATATATTGCCAGTTATTCTAAAGATAATTTAACATTTAAACTTTTTCTCTATTCTTTTTTTTCAGAATCTTTTTCGCCATTCCTTACTTTTCTGTAGTTTTTGCCCATTTTTCATAATTTTCTATTCTGTAAAACCCATCCAGACTCTCATTATTTGACCCCCCGAAATGGCAAATATAGGAAAACTATACAAACCTTCCAAAAGTATGATAATTTTATTGATAAAAGGAGAGCTAATTATACAATTGGAAATTCTAGTACAGGAAGGTCACAAGCTAAATGTGTCGGCGAGCGGATTGATCGATTGTGACGACAACTTCGACATGGAGCCTCTGGTTTTCTGGAAGCATCTTTTTTGACACTTCACAACGTGCTTTTGTTTACATCGTTAACCCAAATCGTTCACAACACGTTTTTCGATTGGACAACTGTTTATTTACAGTATTACAGTTGATTTCATTGGTTATTGAAACTGTCATGGAGGATACCTGTTAGCAGACTTCGTGTTTATTCTTGTAGTATTAGTTTCACTGTCAGTACTCCATCATCTTTTAATATTCACACGAAACTGTTCTTGCAGAAGACAAAAGCCATTATGCCGTTATTAATCAGAGATTACACGTGGGAAGAAACAGAGAAAATGATGTTTATCACCGTTCCATTGAAAGGTGTCCGTGCCAACAAAGTTGATTTGTTGTCATCGGAGGAATTTATTAAGGTTTGATTTAAATTTAGCACACATGTATACTTAATAGAAATATTGCAAATATCTGAGGCAGGTGCGACCAGTAATCCTTTTGAGATTCTGTGTCCGGAGCGATTTCTGATTATTAAGCAGACTTGCCCCCCCCCCCCCCCATAACACCCCTATATACATGTACCTATTATATTAACACAAGGTTCCCAACCCCCATATTTGAGAGATGTCTCTCGGTCAAGAAATTCCTTTATATTTTGATTCTATGGTTGACTATCCCACTGAAACTTGTTATGTATAAGTTAACTACAAAATGATGTACCACACGTTTTTGGAATCATTCAAAGAAAGCCTTCGAATTCCAAGTAGGTCAACCGTAAATTATTTCGTCTTCTCACAGCGAAATGGCACAGGAAACATTATGTGTAATTTTAATCAGATTGTAACTACTGTTCAACTGCTAAAGGTAAGATGTTTCCAAAATGTTAACAGATTCTGATAAGGATAAGTATGTCTTCTCTAACCTGGTTCTAGAATCTAGAATGGTGCTGAAGGAGTAAAAGACACAGGTTTAAGGTTAGGTAGTTGGTTAACAATTTTGTGAATAGAGGTAAAAGGTCCTGATAAAGAGATCATATGTGCAGCTAAATCACAAAATCGCAAAGGAGTCGGAATCCCCAAAAGGTTAAGGTTAAGATCTGATTATATGCAATTCTTGGCTAAAGGAAAGCAGTATTTGTTTTCTTTGAAAACAAAAATTGTGTTCTAAACTTAATGAATAAAAGGAGTGTAAAATTAATCAGATGTTATCAAGGACCTGTGAACAATGCCTGTCATTTTACTTCTTCGTGTGAAAGTTATCAATTCACATTTAGGCCAACTAAAATTAATTAGTAGATTTTCATCCAATTTTTTTTTTAAAATGGGGCGGGTGGGAGGATTTCATTTTTTAATTTTTATTTCCTCCTAAACAAATTTGTGACGTGTTATTCATATACAAGGGTAATAATAAACTTATATCATGTAAGGAATTCTACATTATTTTTTAAATTCTTAAATTAATATTTCTGATTGGCAATTACTGTTCTACATGTACATGTTATTGCCGATTTAGAAACCTATTTTTAGTAAATAGCAAAAATGTGGAGAAATGTCCTCTTTAAGACTATATTTATAGCTAACGAGATCAAATTTATTTTGCTTTTTAAGCTATGATTTGTAGTGCCAATAAAATGAAGCATATGCATTGGTATGCAACACAAATATTACGAATACAGAGTGAAATGAAAACTCAAACTGTGTTGAAAATACTAGGGTTGATGCTTTTAAGATTCTTGTGCAAGATGCAAACATAATACAATGTAAAACATGAACTGAACCAAAAAGAAGTTGTTTATTGACTCTATTGAGGGGCTTGGGACAGAGGGTGTTTGCTGTTTGTCAACAAAAATGACAGCCTTTGGGTAAGTCTAAGGGCTTGCTATAATACATTTTGTACGTTGGCCGACTCTTTGTACTCAATATACATGGGTCATAAATCGCACAAGTTCGTAATTGTGTCAATAACTTTATTCCAGTCATGTTTTTGTACCAATGTGTTCCACGTTTCTTGCGCTTCGGATATCATTCACAGTCCAAATTTCCTGACTCAAAGTCATTGTATAAATAGAAAAATCCATGGTTTCCATAGTAATCAATCTATATTCTCAGAAGATAATATTGTCTTCATTAAGCAGAAGAATATGTAGACTTGTATTACTAGAAGAAATACGAAAACCTAAATTTGAAACTGGAAGTTTTGAATGAAACGAAATTATCGGCGGTTACCGGTAACGGAAATGAACAGAATCCGGAAAAAATCGTAAATTTTAAAAAATCAAAAAAATCAGAGCAGGACGATTTCAGAGGGGCGGGCGGGGATAAAAATCTATCAACTAATTTTAATTGGCCTTACAAACATAGTATCGTGAGTTTAATTTTGATTTTGTGCCACTTGATTTTCCCTGAACATTTCATCAAAGATACATGTACCAGGCTCAAAATAGTGTACACCAGACGTGCATTTGCCTACAAAAGACTTATCAGACAGCAGGGGTCACCACACCAGGCAAAGTGAGCAACTAGGACTTCCCACTTCGCTCTAGAGAAGCTCCAGGGAGAAGTTTATGTCGCCCTCGATTTTCAGTAAAATTCCCCAATCGCCTCATGATTTTTGAGAAATTCTCGATCCAAACAGTGACACTCAAAAAAGAAAAACTATATAATTTTGTTCAATATTAAATCATTAAAGACTCATTTTACTACATAAACAAATGGAAGAAATTCAAAATATTTTAACAACTTATATTATTTAAAGCTTCCATCTGAGCCTCAGGCAATACCAGAGAAATCTGCAGAGACTAATATTGCAAAATGCACATAAATTGAAGACTGACTGAAAAATTTATGATTCATTAATCTCAGATTTCTCTAACTAAACCAAAAACATTAACCAGGAATTGTTACAGATTGTATTTGTATTTCCTTAATGCATGCCATCATGCTTTTTGCTTTCATATTTATCATAATTCATCAAGATGACTCTCCTACCTTGACAGGAAAGGATTGCTGTGCATATAATTATTAATGATTTTAGTTGATTGATATCAATATTGATTTTTTTACTGTTATAATCATGAGGACTCTTGTCTCCTATTAATTTTTCTCTTCAATCATTTTTATAAAAAGAATCACCATTTTAACAATATGTTTATGTACTGTCTTGATATTTTGCTGTTACATAATGTTTGGAAAGAAAATCTTAATAAACAAAGTTGAATGAAAAGTAAATTTAGCTTTTTTATCAAAAATATTTTTATTGAGAAGAAGGAAACTATCCTGACTATGATTCATTCTAAAGGTTTGCATACTGAATGATTAAATAATTTAGTAAATATAGGAGATTTAGAAAGATTTTATAAAAGGAACAAAGATTTAAGAAAATGTAATTTTGATAATTCTAGGTCAGTTTTCCACCATATTTATTCGAGTGTCTATTATACGCACCAGTGGACGACCAAACAAGTACAGCTCAAATAGGAAATGGGGCTGTAGTGTTTAAACTGAAGAAACAGGAACCTGGAATGTGGTACCAGCTCTCAAAAGATGAAATCGGTAAAAATAATAGTACATGTGTGCAATATGATGAAAATGCAGGTTCTGTGTCCACAAATTGCTTACAAGGATCTGACAACTTCACAAGGCTCTGATTTTCTATCTGATCTAAAGACCATTTTTTTAATCCTCTGGTTTTAGTGGAATGTTGGGTACCATAAAAAAATTTGGATGCAGATTTTCAATTGATTTGTGGATATATAGTTATACTTGTATTGGTAGTTAAGAAAATAGTCCAGTGTTCTCTCATGAATCGAGATTTTGTTTTTTTCTTCTAGACATTCCAATATAAGTTTTCAAAGGTCATCATTCTTTATCAAAAATCTGAGGCACATTTTGGAAAAGCCTTTAGCTTCAATTGTTATATTTATTTATATATAATAGGTTTTCAATGATCGTCAATTATACCACCTTATCATGCTTGCAAAGAAAGTCACTGAAGATAGACTTAGGCATGCTTTTTCAAGTTTCTGAATAGGTCAGTTTAAGAGGAATCACAAATTGTAAGTCCGCACCAAATGGCATCTTAAGAATAGCACAAAACTGAAAATCAATTAACGATGAAGGAATTGTAATCATGGTAATCATAAAATTTTGAAAGTTACACAAAATTTATCATAACATAAGATTTTGAAAGTTTCAAAATTTATCATATCATAAGATTTTGAAAGTTTCAAAATTTATCATAACATAAGATTTTGAAAGATAAAAAATATCATACTATGATACATCAAATGATGTTCTTAACACTTGATAGAAGGTCTTCAATAAAATGATTTGTATAGCTTATGGATTCTCAATATTGACATTGTTCAAGCAATATTATTATGAATACTTCACATAACAGTGTCCTCCACACCATTCCATGAAATTCTTTAGATAAATTATACCATCACATCCATAACAAAATCTATAAAAAATCATTTAAATATCATCACATTCAAGCAATATAGATTCACATTACCACAAAGATAAAAGGCCCTTGGAGGAACAATATAAAATGGTCAAAATGGTTTGACTCTTCTATTAAAATAATTTGACAAGAATTTCTGCATAATCATTCACACATCTGACTTATAAAGTTGTTGAGTATCCCTTTCATCTTTACTTGAATTGATTATATATTTCACATTTTAATTTCAGTTGATAAACAACTTATAAAACAGAAGAAAGAGGAAGCCATTCAAAAGAATCAGGAGAGGGCAGTACAGGAAAGGAAAGATAAGGCAGAGAAAAAGAGGGCATCAGAAAAATATACAGTTAATGAAATGATGAAGGTAGGGATAATAGTCTATGTACCTCCCTCATATGAACTAAAAGTATCCTTTAATGAAAAATAAAAGTTAAAAATAATACATAAAAGGAGGCTACATGTGTATATGTAAGGATCAGTCATGTCACTAGTCATAGTTGTTAAAAACCAACCCCATCATTGTCATGTCACTAGAAAATAAAATTTAGCTGTAGAAAGTTTAAATGATTTTACATTTAAATTAATTGTCTTCCATAAAAATTTCTGTAAAATTTCTTAATAATTTTCTTTGACAGTTGAGTCAAAACAGTTTGACCATTTAAGGTAAATACATTTCTATTTATTTTGGATGTTTATTTCAATAATCATCATTATTTTATAAATATGAAATATGAACTTCATTTACATTATATTAGAATTATTGAAATGTCATGAAATACAATAAATTTGGGTGGATTTCCTGAGAGACGATAGATGAAACCTAGTCAAAATATGTTATGTTTAAATAGTGTCAACAGTTTTGGAAATTTGTTTGAAAATTATACACTGGAATTACGGCTGATAATTACATTCCAATGACTAAAATTTTTATAAAATCTTCTAGACATGTCATTTCAACTTAGTTTAATCATGTTAATAATGATGTGTTTAGATAAAGGGCAACATTGAACTACAATTTAAATTTATGTATGTGAGGGCCAGTAGTAATAATGGAACTGATATCATTGTGATGAGAGGTTTGGAACACAGCAAACATAATCTATATACACTGATAGATCATCATATTTTATTTGCAGATAGAAGATGATGAAAGGGAGAGAATTAACAATATAAAAGAATATGAAAGGAAAAAAGCCACAGAGGAGTTAGAAAGATGGAAAGAAGAACAAAGAGAAATGGCTGAGGAGGTTTGTAATTTTAGAACTTGGTTTTGATTTTGTTTAAGCTTAAATACCTCAAAGTTGATATGGCTAGTTAAAGTAAAAATACCTTCAAATATTTATTTTTGAAAAAAGCTAACTATAATGAATGAAATGGTATGGCATAGGCTATAAATGTTTATTATCAGCTGATAATTGATACTCAATTGTTTCCTTGTCACAACCTGTTTATTGAATTAATAAAATCTGATGTGTTTGGAATGCAAAAATCTGATGTCAAAACCAGATGATCACAAATTTTTTTGTGCTTGTTTCTTGCACCATAATGAATTATTTTTCACCATGACTATATTTTTTTGCTAATTACGAAAGTGGTGGCCAACAGCAGAAACCTTGAATTTACAATTATGATCTGCTATTGTTATTCTTTTGTCTTGGTACAAAACTGAAATTTATGATCAAAAATAGATTTGTGATATATCTCTTTATGACTAATTTAGGAAAAACAAAGAATATTGGAGGAGAAAATGGCAGAAGAGGCAAGAAAGAGAGAAGAGGAAAGAAAACAGAGAAAAAAGAAAGGTAGTTTGATAGTAGAATGCTGTGCTTTTCACATGATAGTCATATGAACACTTAAAGAATGACAGGTTTTTTTTGGGTCTTATTTGAAAGCAATTCGTACCTTTTCTTTCTGTCTGAAATTTTGCGAGAATATTTAACAAATGATGGAATATATTCTGTTTACTTTTTGCCATTAAATAGAAAAAGGTGGTATTGATTCTGCAATTCAGTAATTTTTGCAAGGTTTTTATTAATGTGTTATAATGCATTTGGAGGAGTATCTCAATGATAAGAACTGGCATTCTGATATCTGATACATATATCTGTATGCAGCTTTCCCTAATATCACAATGATGAATCTCACATTTTTGTCCATTCTTAAAAAATAACAATAATTTCTGAGTTTACAGTATACAACAGTGCTTAAATTGGAGGATTAGAAGAATAAAGCTATTGACTGTTAACTATATTTTATGTTTTTTTTTCACTATAAAAATACTTTAGATAGTAAACATAGTTTCAGCTTGTTTAACACTTGGCTATTACTATAGACTATGTTAGTCAAAGATAAATCCTGGGAATTTTTTCAAGTTTGTTTTTTAACTGTCCTGGATTTTTAATGTTAAATACATTTTGATATGGTTTTCTGAATTGGTAAATGATAACCATATTAAGTGTTAATCATGCTGTAACTTGCTTTAAAATCTTTCAGAAAATTGTTCTGAAAGTTTAAAACAGGTGAAAGCTGGATTCAAATTTAAAGCCTTTTTAGTTATTTGGAAAGTTTCCATTCAAAGGAAAGACTGTATTTTTTCTCATAATCAAACGCATAGATAGAATTATAATTTCAGACTGCTAGTCTCACAACTGAAGTATTTTTAGTAACTGTATCAAAAATGTCTTTGTATGAATTTGAAAAGAAAAAAATACTGATTTTTATGTTATTTTTTAAGCTGAGTTAAACATACTTCTCACAAATTGATATGAGGAATTATTCCAAATGTTTTCAGGAAAAAATATATTTGAAGAATCAGCTGAAGGAGTACCAAGGAGGGAGGTTGGTAAAATTGAAGTGAAGTTTACAAAAAGGGTATTTCCTACAGCTGCCAGGGAATCACAGACTCCACAAGAAGAAGAGGTAAATAGTAAAAACAAAAATCAGAAGCTAGTGATCCAGATTAACTCTTTATGTTTTGTTTTATGTTATACCACTGTCAACTATCTGAAATATAATAAAAAGTGCATTTGCAAAAATAATTTCACTTTGATATTTACAGCTGACATTTTATTGAATGCAAGCAAGCTGAGACCAGGTTTTTGACCTAATACATGTTCAAACCTCCATTTTTATAATGCATATGTTATTGAGAAAATCTGCATTTCTTTTTTTTTAAGTTTTTTATGTGAAATGTTCATATTTGAAAAAAATTTGAATGTCAGGGCTTGTAATTGAAAGTTATTATCCCATCGCAGTAGGCAATCAACACATTTTTCAAGCTTTCGTTTATCCATTTTGGTTGAATTTTGAAGATAAATGTGAGAGTAAATGTTAATGAGACAGCAAACCAACCACCACATAGATTCACCAAAGATAAATATAGAGGTCACTGTATGACCTGCTATGATTGTGTTTATAATTTGTTCTCTAACATTTATAATTTGTTTACAGTTATAAATGGTTGTTTGTCTGAATTTTCCATTGTATTGAATAAATAAGAAATAAATAAATCAACCCTGTGTATTGTTTTCCATTTGCAGTGGTTGCAGAAACAAGCTGATGCAAGGAAGGCATTAGAGGTGGAGGATTCAGATTTAACTGAAGAAGAAAAGAATCCATTATTCATGAGAGATAAGGCAAAGTAAGCTTATTCACACAAATGGTAACATATTTAAGTCAAATTAGGAGCTCAAGTTGGCTCTGACCTTTGGGCTCCTGAAAATGCTGCAAATAACAAATTTGATGTTTTTCTGATTCATGACCAATTGGTGGTATATTTTTATACGACCACAAAAAAATTTGTCGTCGTCGTCAGAAGACACATTGGTTTCCGGACAATAACTTTAGTTAAAGTGAATGGATCTCTATGAAATTTTTTAAGAAGGTTCAATACCACAAAAGGAAGGTTGGGATTGATTTTGGGGATGATGGTCCCAACCGTTTAGGAATTAGGGGCCAAAAACAAGCATTTTTCTAGTTTCAAGAAAATAACTTGTGTATAAGTATTTCGATTGCTCTGAAACTGTACCACAATGTTTAATACCACAAGTAGAAGGTTGGGATTCATTTTAGGGGTTATGGGGTCAACAGTTTAGGAATTAAGGGCCAAAAAGGGGCCAAAAACAAGCATTTTTCTAGTTTCTAGACAATAACTTGTGTGTAAGTGTATGGATCTCTCTGACAATGTACCACAAGGTTCTATATAACAAAGGGAAGGCTGGGATTGAGTTGGGGGTTAATTGCCTCAAACATGCAGGAATTAGGGGCCAAAAACAAGCATTTTTCTAGTTTCCAGACAATAACTTGTGTGTAAGTGTATGGATCTCTCTGAAATTGTACTACAAGGTTCCATATAACAAAGGAAAGGCTGGGATTGAGTTTTAGGGTTATTTCTCCAAGGGGGGTTTCAAAAAGTTTGGGGGGGGGGATTTTTTTCCCATTTTTATTTTTCAAAATTTTTTAAATTTCGAAATTTTGAAAAGTTTCAAGAAGAAATCTTCAATTGCACAGTATTGTGCAATGGATTTATAAGATCATTGACCACATTTATTTTGTGTCAGAAACCTATATTATGTCAAAAATTTGATCACAATCCAATTTCAGACAGTATCAAGCTTGAATATTGTGTCCAAATTTGCCACAACTGTTCAGGGTTCGACCTCTACGGTCGTATCAGGCTGCGCTCAGCGAAGCATTTTATTGTTAGTTCAATAAGAAATTTTTGCAATGTACCACATCAGAAAATTTGAGCTCTTTATTTACAACTACAAGTAAATGATATTTTGTATTTGATGGTCTTATCAACAAAGTCATTATAGAAATCTGCATTTAAAATTATTGTTTGATCAAAAGGTAATTAGAAAAAGTTATATCAAATAACTGCTTTAATATCAGTTGGTTTGTATTGAAAAGTAATTATTTTGTGCTTGTTTATTATTTTGTAGTGAGTTTTTCAAATCTGGTAATTACCAAGCAGCAGTAAATGCCTATACTACAGCACTCAGATATAGTCCAAAGATGCCAGCGTATCCTTTATACAATGTCATAATCACATGTTAATTTATATTAAAACTTTTATAGAAGTTTTAACCTTATGGATAACATTTTTTCAGTGTGATAGTCATTGCTTTTAAAATTGTTGTTTTTGCCAGCCATGGCTAAATTTTGACAAAAGAACTGGTTTCCCAAATTGGAAAGGAATGGAAACTGAGTTATACAGAAAAATTTGTCATTTTTACCACCATGCTGTAAAACAATTTATGTTTGCCAGCTGTATGTTGATAGAGCCATAATGCCACTGAAAAGTTAATGACCATTTAAAATGTTTTCACAGAAGTTGTTGTCTATTTCTAAAACACTGTTTATGAAATCGTTGCTACTCATATGAAATTCATTTATACACTCGAGCAATTTTGGTTTAACATGCACAATATTTTGATATATTATTATTGTGTATATTCTAACTAATTTGATTCATTTAGAAAGAGTCACATGTTCAACAATATTTTCAAAGGTAGACTGAAAACAGCAGATAGAAAGTGATATTGCATGGTTATTTTTAGAATTTCCATGCACACTGCCATTGATTTGAAAAGATTTTGTGTAATTTAGAAATTCAATGCATATAAACCGAATGAAGTGATTTTATTTTCAGACAACAGATATATTTAACAAGATATATAACTTTGATTGCACATATTAAATGTTCCACTGTCATGTATAATCCTTAACATATACTTAGATTATATTCAAATAGAGCAGCATGTCATTTAAAACTAAGAAACTTTTTCAAGACCATAGAAGATTGTTCAAAGGTATGTGTCCCTTATTTCAGATCAATTTATTACTTGATTATAACCTCTATTTAGCTGATAATATTATGATACCCCATTCAAGTAAAGCATGCTGTATATGCAGATTCTAGTGAAATAGTCAAATTTGTGGTGTATGGGAGGCAACTCTTGATATTCATCTCATTTATAGTCGTAGGAAAAACATTGGTTTTAAGAATAATGCTGTTGCACGTGAATGCTTAAAAGGAAAAATTTAGGAAAATTCCCATGTTTTCACAACTTTTACATAACATTTTAAAAACTATGTTTGAGCCAGTTACCATGTGTGTAATTCAAGTTTGTTTTTTTTTATGTCTGGTAAATGTAGCTTATTTGAAAGATGATTTAATTTAAAGAGACAAAGCTTAAAGCTTTGTCTCTATAACTTGATGATATGCGTATAAACATTTTCACTGACTTTAAAAAGTACTTTTTTCCATTTTATAAATGGTTCTTTTCACAACTGTATGTGTGACCTCATTACTCAAAGACATTGCTGAAAAAGCATGACAATCAGGAATTGTCCGTCTCAAAAAAATTCTAAAATATAATTATTCCCTTTTCTGCTGCCAAGCGATAACTGTAAAGGCTACAGAAATTGGAACGAAGTGTTTCAGATTCTTGTAAGTAACATGCGAACACCGTTTGGTTGCATTGCTTTAACAAGTGATTAAAATTGTGTGTAACTTTCCCAGAATCTCCAATTTATAATTATATTGTGCACTTCTTGTTCTCCGAAACATGGATTGTTCTATAGGTGCAAAAGGGGTAAGCACTTTATATCCACAACTCTTCCACAGCCACTGACTTTTTCAGTGCAACATTTTTTAATTTCAGAATCTCACTTAAAAAATGCAGCTGTGCAACCAATATTTTATTTTAATCAAAATGATTTTTCATGGATTTAAAAAGCAAAATATGAAATTTGCCATGTCTATACAATGGGAGCAGCATTGTTGCTCACAGTGCATCTGTTTACTAATTTGAAATATCAATTTCTTATTATTAAAGGCAATTGACTTACTTCATCCACCAGTCCCTCAGAATGCTGCCAGTAGATTAAAAGCCTTGATTAGAAAAGGAACAGCTTTCTGTCAGCTCGAGTTGTATGTTGAAGGTAAGTGTTCCTTGATGTATAGCAAAAGTATTAGTTATTTCATTTTCTAGATCGTTTAAAGGAAAGTGTAGGGACTGTAGAAAAGTCAGATTGATTAATATGAAAATGGATTTTGTTTAAAAGAAATGAAATGACCATTTTTTAAATTGAGTTGTATATTTCCTTCCTTAATGAAGTCACAGAGGTTAGACATGGGCGTGTTGTTTCTGGTTTCAAAGTTTGTGATTAGGTTAATTTATAGGGAACCACTTATGTTCATTAATATTTGGTATGCAGTTGTATTAGCATTGGCAAATTTAATTTTCACAGATATTATTAAGACCTGCACCTTCAGTCATGGAACATTGACTTTGAATGTTTTGCATATAAGAATAAGAAGATATGGTATGCATGCCAATGAGACATAAAATTGAGAATGGAAATGGGGAATATGTCAAAGAGACAACCCGACCAAAGAGCAGACAACAGCCGAAGGCCACCAATGGGTCTTCAATGCAGCGAGAAAATCCCGCACCCGGAGGTGGTTCTCAGCTGGCCCCTAAATAAAATTGTGTGCTAGTTCAGTGAAAATGGACATCACACTAAACTCCAAAACATATAAATGAACTAAATTTAAAAAACATACTAGACTAACAAAGGTCAGAGGCTCCTGACTTGGGACAGCACAAAAATGCGGCGGGGTTAAACATGTTTTGTGAGATCTCAACCCTCCCCCTATACCTCTAGCCAATGTATGATAAAGAAACACATAGCAATATGCACAGTAAAACTCAGTATAATAGAAGTCTGAGTCCGATGTCAGAATAGGTAACAAAAGAAACTAAGCAAAATGACAATGATACATAAATGAACAAAGGACTACTAGCAGTTACTGACATGCCAGCTCCAGACCTCAATTAAACTAATTGAAAGATTATGTCTTCATCATATGAAAATCAAGTACAATCCCTCCCGTTAGGGGTTAAGTATCATACCATCATAAAATATATGAGAAGAACATACTGTAAATTCAGAAATTAATGCGAGGTTTTTATTATTGCGAAAAATGCGACAGAGTTGTAAACGCAATAATTTAAACTCGCATTTTGAAATATTTTATATGAATTAAACAATTTTTTCTCAAAATCGTAAAAATTAAAATCGCATTTAAGTCTAAAATGACAAAATCGCAATAATAAATGCACGCAATAATTTCTGAATTTACAGTAAACCGTATCATGCCAACAACTGGTTTTAGAATAAATGTGTTTTATTTCCAATGCAAAGACCCTATGGGTGAATCAATATTAATACCAAAATATGCAATCCTTAATGACTTGACAACAGTATCGTAACTATATCCTTTCCGAATAAGTCTGTTTAAAGGTTTGGTTAGCTTTTGAGGTAAATGCCCACATTTTTGTGGTTTGTAAAGAATATTACCATAAAATATTGGATGTGAAATACCTGAACGTATAAGATGTCTGCATGTTGATTTATATCTACGAATGATGTCCTTGTACCGATGATAAAATTTAGTAAATGTTTTGACTAGTTTGTGATATCGAAAACCCAGGTGTAATAATTTTCCAGTAATACAGAGATTTCTTTTGTTGAAATCAAATACGTTGATACATACACGAGCGAATCGAACAAGTTGAGATATATAAACACCATAAGATGGCGACAAGGGACATCACCATCTAAAAATGGATAATTAACAATAGGAAATGAAAAATCATCACCAGAGACTAAAATGATGATGAAGGTTATGCAAGACAAAAAACCGAAATATATAAACAGATGTCTGACAGACCAATGTCTTGTCAGCATCTAATGAATGTGATTTGTTAGTTTTGTGATTTTTATACGACCACAAAAAAATTTTGTGGTCGTATATTGGTATGACGTTGGCGTCGTCGTCGTCGTCCGGCGTCGTCGTCCAAAGACACATTGGTTTTCGCACTCTAACTTTAGTTTAAGTGAATGGATCTTTTTGAAATTTGACCATAAGGTTAAATACCACAAAAGGAAGGTTGGGATTGATTTTGGGGGTTATGGTACCAACAGTTAAGGAATTAGGGGCCAAAAAGGGGCCAAAAATAAGCATTTTCTAGTTTCCAGACAATAACTGTGGAACGGTGTATGGATCTCTCTGAAATTATACTACAAGTTTCCATACCACAAAGGGATGGTTAGGATTTGCTTTGGGGGGTTATGGCTCAAACCGTTTAGGAATTAGGGGCAAAAAAGGGGGAAAAACAAGGTTGTCCTGGTTAATGGACAAATACTTTAGTACAAAACATAATTTAAAGCAGTGTAAGGGAGATAAATCAAATACATCATTGAAATTATCTCCCTTACACTGCTTTTAAATTATGTATAAAGTAATGGTTAATGAACAATAAAGATAATTTAAAACAGTGTAAGGGAGGTAATCCAAATACAATGTTTTGGTTACTTCCCTTACACTGCTTTTAAATTATGTTTAAAGAAATGCATATTTATAAAGGAAGACCAGTAAAAATATCTGCAAATGTTGCATCTTTTTTTTTACAAAAAAAATCCATATGAAAGATTTGACACTATATTTTTTATTCTATTATAAAATAGATTAAGTTAGCACTATGGTAAATTTAAATGGGTAATTATGGTTGCCAACTCCATTGGAAATTTGAATTGAGATTATGACCATATCTTGAGGGAAAGAATTTTTTGGGGGAAAAAAGGGGGGGGGGATAAAAAGAAATTGTGGGGGGGTCAATTTTTTTCTCATTTCAGATTTCAAGTTAAAAAGAATTATTCTTCAAATATTATTTTTTTTTCAAATTTCAAATATTGAAAAATTTCAAGAAGTAATCTTTAATTGCACAGTATGGCGCATTAGATTTGTAAAATCTTTGATCACATTTATTTATTTGTTATGCCGAATCTAACAGGGTATTTAGATTTTTAATTTTGGGTCCAGTTTTCAAATTGGTCTACATTAAGGTCCAAAGGGTCCAAAATTAAACTTTGTTTGATTTTAGCAAAAATTGAATATATGAGGTTCTTTGATATGCTGAATCTAAACATGTATTTAGATTTTTGATTTTTGGCCCAGTTTTCAAGTTGGTCCAAATTGGGGTCCAAAATTAAACTTTGTTTGATTTCAACAAAAATTGAATATATGGGGTTCTTTGATATGCTGAATCTAACCATGTATTTAGATTTTTTATTTGTGGACCCCGTTATCAAATTGGTTCATATTGAGGTCAAAAGGGTCCAAAATTAAACTTTGTTTGATTTCATCTAAAATTTAATTATTGAGGTTCTTTGATATTCAAAATCTAACCGTGTATTTAGATTTTTAATTTTGGGTCCTGTTTTTTAAATTGGTCTACATTAAGGTCCAAAGGGTCCAAAATTAAACTTAGTTTGATTTTAACAAAAATTGAATTCTTGGGGTTCTTTGATATGCTGAATCTAAACATGTGTTTAGATTTTTTATTATGGGCCCAGTTTTCAAGTTGGTCCAAGATAGGGTCCAGTATTTAAACTTTGTTTGATTTCAACAAAAATTGAATATATGGGGTTCTTTGATATGCTGAATCTAAACATGTATTTAGATTTTTGATTATGGGCCCAGTTTTCAAGTTGGTCCAAATTGGGGTCCAAAATTAAACTTTGTTTGATTTCAACAAAAATTGAATATATGAGGTTCTTTGATATGCTGAATCTAACCATGTATTTAGATTTTTTTATTTGTAGGCCCTGCTATCAAATTGGTTCATATTGAGGTCAAAAGGGTCCAAAATTAAACTTTGTTTGATTTCATCAAAAATTGAATTATTGGGGTTCTTTGATATGCCAAATCTTACCGTGTTTTTAGATTTTTAATTTGGGTCCCGTTTTTTAAATTGGTCTTCATTGAGGTCCAAAGGGTCCAAAATTAAACTTAGTTTGATTTTAACAAAAATTGAATTCTTGGGGTTCTTTGATATGCTGAATCTAAACATGTGTTTAGATTTTTGATTATGGGCCCAGTTTTCAAGTTGGTCCAAGTTGGGGTCCAAAATTAAACTTTTTTTGATTTCAACAAAAATTGAATATATGGGGTTCTTTGATATGCTGAATCTAACCATGAATTTAGATTTTTATTTGTGGGCCCCGCTATCAAATTGGTTCATATTGAGGTCAAAAGGGTCCAAAATTAAACTTTGTTTGATTTCATCAAAAATTGAATTATTGGGGTTCTTTGATATTCCAAATCTTACCATGTATTTAGATTTTTAATTTTAAGTCCCGTTTTTTAAATTGGTCTACATTAAGGCCTAAAGGGTCCAAAATTAAACTTAGTTTGATTTTAGTAAAAATTGAAATCATTGGGGTTCTTTGATATGCTGAATCTAAACATGTGTTTAGATTTTTGATTATGGGCCCAGTTTTCAAGTTTGTCCAAGTTGGGGTCCAAAATTAAACTTTGTTTGATTTTAACAAAAAATGAATATATGGGGTTCTTTGATATGCTGAATCTAACCATGTATTTTGATTTTGGACATTGGACCATAATAGGTAAATTAAAAAAATTCAAGTTCTTAGACCACATTCTTTCTGTGTCAGAAACCTATGCTGTGTCAAATATTTAATAACAATCCAAATTCAGAGCTGTATCAAGCTTGAATGTTGTGTCCATACTTGCCCTAACTGTTCAGGGTTCGACCTCTGCGGTCGTATCAAGCTGCGCCCCAGCGAAGCATTTTATTAGCATAGTTCAAATGTTAAAGTATTTCCATCTTAATTTCACCATTTACATATAAGAATAACAGAAAAATATACAGGTGAGACCTAACTCCTGTGTCAACAGTTAATTATGAAATACTGTCTCTTATATTGAAATTTGCAAGGTTGATTTTTATGCCCCACCTACGATAGTAGTAGGGGCATTATGTTTTCTGGTCTGTGCGTCCATTTGTCCGTCCGTCCGTTGTGTCCCGCTTCAGGTTAAAGTTTTTGGTCAAGGTAGTTTTTGATGAAGTTGAAGTCCAATCAACTTGAAACTTAATACACATGTCTCTATGATATGATCTTTCTAATTTTAATGCCAAATTAGAGTTTTGACCCCAGTTTCACGGTCCACTAAACATAGAAAATGATAGTGCGAGTGGGGCATCCGTGTACTATGGACACATTCTTGTTTAAACCTGAAATACTGTAGAATACCACTTTCAAAACACTTTTTTCGACAGTTAAAACACATTGTAAAAATTAAATGGAAAATTAACTTTGATTGATTAAAATTTGGTTCTGTTAGAACATTGTGTTATATATATATATGGATATGCAAATACATTGGGCCAAATAGAAAAGAAGAATTAATTACAGTTGATTAAGCCTTTGTTATTATCTGATTATAAACAAATACAATGGAATGATTTCCTTACACTAAGACTGATACAGAAATAGTCTTGTTATAATTTACCAGCAATAAAAATGACTTGTGCACTTAAATATAGAATAACCATACATTGTCTGGAAATATAAACTTTATTTGTACAAGTCTTAGAAACAGGTAGAAAGCAAGGCTTTGCCGAGCATTTCTTACCTGTTTTGAGCCGAGTACAAATAAAATTTATATTTCAAGACAAATTATGGTTATTTTTTTTTATATACTGCATTCCTACAACTGTTCCAAATGAAATATTTAGGGTAAAAACCATCATAATAAATTTGGAGCGAATGACGTACAAAATCTGTGAAACTGTATTTGTAATGACGTCATAAATAAAACTCAACTGAAATGCATTGTCAACGTCGTAAACAAGGTGATATACGGACAAATGATTATACACTATATAAGTTATTGTACATGAAGTGTATGCAGGCATCTGTGGGTTTCTGATCTCCACAATAATTTCAAGTTGCAACCCTTAACAGTTGACTGTTGCGCAATTATAATTGTCCATTCTTTAAATTTACAAATTTTTGTCTGGGTATAAAGGTTTCTAAAAACTATTTGCTAATTAGCTTTAATATGCAGTTGTAGTCAGTATGGAATTACTAGTACTACAAAAAAATGATAGTTTGAATTATTGTCATGCTATAAATCCAATAAATTAAATCAGTTTACAATTTCTAAAGGTCATAATATATTTATTACAGGTTTACAGGATTATGAATGTGCACTGAAAATTGATCCAAACAATGAACAATTAAAGGCTGATGCAGAAAAAATCAGACAGATTATACAGAGTAGTACGGGAAGCTGAAAATAAAAACATTTAGTTTTTAAAGTATACCGGAGATGTTCAGTCAATAAGGCATATTAAAGTTAAGGACCAACAACCGAAGTTAAAGACCAACAACTAAAGTTGAAGACCAATATCCAGATTAATATTTCCAAAAACATGATGGCAGTGTTTAATTGTTTCAGTATAGTACTGAAAGAATTGATTTTGATGAAACATTTTTGCTATTGATTTGAGATAGGGAATATAAAAATAGTGTATATGACCAAATGAAACGTTGCAGGGACGAAAATGTTATTCATTGCAGGGAATTTTTTATAATGTATATGAAAAACATTAAATCGACATCTATGAAATTTAATTACAACTTTTTTTTAATTGATTATGATATGTTGTATTGACAATGAAAGCTCACATTCCTGTATATTTGTTCAGAATTGTTGAATCACAGTCTGGTCACTAAACTACATCAGTCTATTAGGGACTGGTAGCTGCTTTGTATTAATCCTTCTACAATTCTTGTGTTATACAATAACTCAATTTATCCTCATTTATCCAAAAAATTATATGATTTGAGAAAATAAGCTTTTAATGATCTTCTGATGGCTTTATTCAGAGTAACATGAATTGATGCATGAATGTACCCAAAACTAGTATAAAAATAAGAAGATGTGGTATAATTGCCATTGAGACAGGCTCCTGACTTGGGACAGGCACATACAGAATGTGGCAGGGTTTAACATGTTTTTGTTCATATATCACAATACAAACATTTATTGTTGTATACACAAATTGATTGTTCATTCTTTCATTTTTTCATTTATTCGTTCACACTTTAATTTCAGAAATTGTTGTAATGTTGTTATTATTGTAGAAAGTAGAAGTTGTGACCAGATAGGTTTTGTTGAATATAAATACCATCACTTAAATTTGGATTGAATTATTTGTATGCAGCATCTCCTGATATCATAATTATCAAATCTAGCATTTTTGTCCATTGTTTTCAACAATCACAGTAATTGAAACAAATATATACATCAAACACTGGTTAGTTGAAATAATCATTCCGTCCAAATATTTGTATTGATTTTTTACAGTTTTGCTATACATTGAATTATTTGTTATGTTGCATATTGTTTTTATTTATTTATTTTATACATTTCAATGAAATAAATCTGAATACAATTGAAATTTTATTTATTGAATTTTTATACAGCATATGGGTCAGTCCTTTCAAAATTTGGCAGTCCAACTATTGAGCTGATATTCTGTGGTAAAATAGATAAGTAGTCTTTGAGATGGAAACTATTGTGATCTCTGAAGCACATTCTCTCATCTTTTATATCCTCTTGTCTGGATGTATAATACATTATGTAGAAATTACACATCTCATCTCTGTTTGTTGGTCTGTTGAAAGAAATAGAAATGTAGAGAGTTCATTATGTCATAAACATATCAATTCTAAGCAATTGAATTCATTTGAAGTGGTATTCCTGAGCCATCCGACAATAAAAATCTTGTGTATTTTTATTACATTTATTGCTTTATTAGCTTTAAAAAAAAACGGAGAAAATTCATATGCAGAAAATTATATCACTTTATTAGAGAAATACGAGTTATGAATGACAATGAGACAGCTACCCATTCAAAAGGTTTTATAACTTCTGATAGAAAAAAATGTGGTTGTGGAATGCAATAATAATTGGTTAATTTATATATGTTCCATGTTAGTTTTAAAGTCTAAAGTTGTTCAATACTTATAAATCCTTACCCTATATTTGTAGCAAATTTTCTTTGACTGCTCATGGTACAGCGAGATATCTAAAATATTTCATGTAAATTAAATTCATAGATATGACATAAAAAGCCTTATTTCGATATATCAGTATAAGAAAGAAATTTTGACAAGTACAAATATACATATGAATGCATTGAGATATTGTGTTCATTCAAAGAGACCATAACCACACATCACAAAAAAACCAAAAGACATTTGGAGGTCAGTACACAATAGGCATTATATAGATTAGACCGTTGGTTTTCCCGTTTGAATGGTTTTACACTAGTAATTTTTGGGGCCCATTATAGCTTGCTGTTCGGTGTGAGCCAAGGCTCGGTTTTGAAGACTGTACTTTGACCTATAATGGTTTACTTTTATAAATTTTGACTTGGATGGAGAGTTGTCTCATTGACACTCATACCACATCTTCTTATATCTATGTGTCTATACCATATGTCACACACTGAATCACATTAAGTATATCTTGTGAACAAATTTAACAAAGACAACCAAGACCTGCATTTAACATCACATTGTAAAAGAAGAGGAATATTCCTTTACAGAATGCAGATGTAAGATAAAGAATAATAATAATAACAGTAAAAGAGGGACGAAAGATACCAGAGGGACAGTCAAACTCATAGATCGAAAACAAACTGACAACGCCATGGCCAAAAATAAAAAGACAAACAGACAAATAATAGTACAGATGACTCAACATAGAAAACTAAAGACTAAGCAACATGAACCCCACCAAAAACTGGGGTTGATCTCAGGTGCTCCTGAAGGGTAAGCAGATCCTGCTAAACATGTGGCACCCGTCGTGTTGCTTATGTTATTACAAATTCGGTAAATAGTCTAATTCGGTAGGTCACATTCGTGAAAAGGGAAGGATATTGTAGTTACGACATAAGGATCATATCCGATATCATCTGTGAAACGGTTATTCCATAATGGTCAACCAACTTGTGATGGCGTCCGTAAAATTTATGAAGGGATGATTTCAACTTCCCCATTTGGAACTCTTAGTTTAATAGCTTCCTTGTGAGCAGCAATCCTCTATCAAGGAAATCATGATAGGAAATACAAGCCTGGGAATATCGTATCCCCATACATATATACTCCGTATGCAAGCCTGCTGGAATGTTGCTACATAGAAATGGAAAGTTCACAATTGGGAAGCTGAAATCATCTCTTTTGTCATAAAGTTTTGTTTTCAACCGACCCTCATTGTCAATTTCTAGATGTAAGTCAAGATATGAGGCAGACTTAACTGTATCTGTAGTATCCTTTATCTCTAGTTCGATGGGATAGATTCGTTCAACATAAATTATATCAAAAAATATCCATGAAATACAGTTAATGATGGACTTATTTACCAATAAATCTCCAGTTGTAATATTCATGTTTGGTTCTGCTACATCATAAAAAGTCTGCAAGTATAAATAGGTCAGACTGAATCTAAGCATTTTAAGCATTGAGTATTAAGAACTGCTATTACATAAAGACATCAACAATTACTAGGGTAATCATTTAACAACTTTTTAAGAACCAGGAATATTTACCACAATGTCATCCAGTTTATGTTTATACAGTAAAGCAAAATAACAAATGCAAACGTTAAGACTTGTATTGCATTTAATTATCTGATACATGTGGTGAATATGAAAATATAAGATCTGATACTTTAATGTGTGTCCTTATTATTATTTTGGTAATATTTAAATACCAAAATTTGAATATTAAGGTGTCTGAATGTTACTCTTAAGGATTTTTGCAACTATTTCCACAAAATCAAAATTGTATTCTACCCTATAAATTGCTGATTAAAACAATTTGGTTAAACATAACATTATTGCAAATTTTGCATGTTTTTTAAAATATTTTTCACCAGAGGACGTCTACAAACTGCAATTTTGAGCCATCTTTAAACATTAACAATTCAGCTACAAATTCAGAAAAAAACAGCATTATGTCATTACAACTGCAAAGTGGCCATATTAGCTGTGATTTTTAAAAAAAATTTAAGAGCGAAGATCATTTTGTAATTGATTCAAGTGTGAAGTATTTTCAGGGGAAATTGGCCCTATTCAATATATCTTTTTAATTATAAATATAACTTGACTATTTGAAGTAGAAATCAAAATCTGGTGCAAATATTACCTGAGGAAGCTGAGGAGACATCCGTCCTATCTCTGTGTAGGTTCCATCCCTATATCTATAGCCTGATGTCACCACTCCTGAATTTATTAAGGATTCTGGTATGAAATGGCCATTTGGTCAATAGTGGAGATTTGTCTCATTGGCAATCATAGCACATCTTATTATTTTCATATTCAATATTGCACTTTTTCAATGACAAAAAGACTAAAGAGTGCAGTATGGCTTTAGAGATTGCATATTTAACAGTCATGAAAGTTCAAGTGAAAAATTGAATGATAATTATCAATGATAGATAAACTCTTTGAAATAGTTTTACTGTATTTAACAAAGTTGTTATCAACTCAATAAGGTGTTTTGCAAGGAATAATGCATAGGTATATAAAATGTTTTTAGTAATCAGTAGGTCAATCAAAATACAAAAAAAGGTTTTCAAGTATTCTCTTCAAAGGGAATCATGTTTTTATACGTCCGTTTACGGGACGTATTATGGTATACCGTTGTCCGTTCGTTCATCTGTCCGGTTTCTGTCCATCCGTCAGTTGTCATGTCGGACAATAACACAAAAACGCTTTAACCAATTTGCATAAAAATTTGGAGAATTGTTTATATCTATTGACATGAGCTCCCTTTCGATTTTTATAAATTTGAGATTTTACGTTTCGAGTTATGGGGTTTATTCATTAAAAAAGGGAGATTTTCCAGTTTTCTGACAATATCTCAAAAATGCTTTGAGCAGTTTTCATGAAACTTTACTGAATTGCTTGTATCTATTGACGTAAGCTCCCTTTCGATTTTTATAAAATTTCGATTTTATGTTTCCGAGTAATGGGATTTTATTCATAAAAAAGGGGGGATTTTCCAGTTTTCAGGACAATAACTCAAAAGTGCTTCGAGCAGTTTTCATGAAACTTTGGTGACTGTTTTTTATCTATTAAAATAACCTCCCTTTCGTTTTATTTATAAATTTCTGATATGACATTGAGGAGTTGTGGAACTTTATTCTTTGAAAAAGCGACGGGCATATCATGCGTTCATGGCGCAACTCTTTATTAAACTTTTTGATGCACTTAACTGTATTCCTACTTACCAAGATTATGTGAATGTGTTCTATAAGCTATAGGGTAGATAGTTTCTCTGGAGTCATAGTTACATCCACTATCAGCATGGAACTCTGGGACAGGGAGAAAAAAAATGTGCATGAAAATAAATTGTTTAGATTTTTGGTATAAAAATGTATTTTTTGTATGAACAAAATTATTTCTGTTATAGATATAAGTGCAACAAAGTCACATGAAACTCTGACAAAAATCCTCAGAATTTACATTTTATTAATCCTAATGTGGACTTAAAAATTAATATTGGTGTAAATAATGTAACAATTATTTTTTTTTATGTATACATGGTTGTCAAGCAAGTTATCAATAAAGCCTGAGACATAATATATTGACTATTAGTATATATTAGTATACTATCCCCATAAAAAGGTAAGTATTTCATCATAACATTAAGATGAGCATTACACGTTTACTTACCTTTGGTCATAGGTGGAATCTCACCAACTGTCCCAAGGATGTAATGTCCCACTTGGAGAGGTTGCCTGAAGTAATTAGACGTTTCAATTCATATATAAATATAGTTTGATGCCACAAGTTATCAAGGTCAAATAGTTGTTAGTATAAAAATCCAAAAGAATTTCACATTTTTCATGTCAGGGCCTTTTATAGCTGACTACGGTATGGGTTTTTCTCATTGTTGAAGGCCGTACAGTGACCTATAATTGCTTTTATCTTCGTCATTTGAACTCTGGTGGATAGTTGTCTCATTGACAATCATACAATATCTCTTTATTTTTATATGTCATCTTAAAATTGTTCTAATTAACACCCTCCATTCGAAAATATTGACAGAGTAACCATTGTTAACGTTGTGAATTTTATTTGACTCAAAAAGAATTATATTTGATAAATTTCAAATCTGCTAAATGCTTATAAAAAATTCTACAACGGAACTTAAAAACAAAATTAAATACTTTTTAAAACTTAATTGTGTAGTATCATTTCCAGTATTTAGATTGATTGATTGATTTGTTGTTGTTTGCTTTTTCGTCCAGTGGCAGTTATTTCATACATGTTCAGGACGAGATAAATATTCAGGTTCTACAATAGGAGTTCGACCAAGATGATTGGCGGGAATTTTGGAATACCACTAGAAAATGAGGTAATTTTGGAAAAGTATGGATATTAAGCCTTGCAACAGGTCACCCAAGGACCCCTCAAATAGTTGTTGCAAGGGTTCTTAATTTCCCCATTCTGATCTAAAGTAACTGCGAATTTATACATCATGCACAGCCAAGGGTTTTACTGCCGGTCGGAAGACCAAGGAATGACCAATTTTCTATACCCCAGTCAACCTTTTGGATTCCAGTATATAGAAATATCAGTACTAATAAATATGATTGGAGATTACGCATACTTATCGTGTGTCATCTCCAAATAGTAGCCTGAGTTATCTGTTTGACCAGCTGTAAAATATACTTAAATATTTTACTATTCCATTTAAAAAACCAAAATAGGGTACAAGAGGCTAACTACATGTCTGTGCAGATATTTGAAAATGTATATACATTTATGTGCCCGTGAGTTGTTAAACTTTCGGGCTTTTACTAATATGTTTGTCTCAAACATTTAAGGGTTATGTAATTTACATATTTCACGATGATTTTTTTTTTCGCTTTCAAATAAATTTTACTGTACTTTTTTGTTTGACTCTCAAGGTTTGAACATGAAGAATTTTGAATACGATATCAACTTTTGATAAATTCTTCGTCATCTTTTAATGTCAAATGAACACAGATATGTAACGAAATTTTTAATGCAGTGATTTTTTTATTTGAAAAAAATATGATGTTTGTATAACAATTCAAAAGAAACATATATAAGGTCCGGAAAACAAACTGATTTTACATACAAAACTTACGACTCAACTTGTCTTTGTAATGCAGGTTAATAAGTAAATAATTAATACCAGTCGTTCCTCCAACTCTATAACCAGTACCTTTATAAAACAAAATGACATGTATAGATCAGCACACATTTAAATACATAAAATCTCTGAAATAAAGAAAAAAAAACGAAATGTACCTTAACTACGTTACACCAGACCAATGACTAGGACACATTTGTAATTATTTCACTTCAATCCTGTCTTGCTTTCAGTGTTCATAATTATAATGTTACCCTAACTTACCAGAAGGTAGGGACCTAGGCTTTCCATCTAGTGCCCATGCATATATGATACGTGGAGGTCCGTGTTTACATATAGGCAGGCGATGGCCCTCTTCATTTTCTTCGCCACACGTCCTGTGTATTTAAAACAGAGATGCCACTGCTACTCAGAGAATAATAAAAACAAAAACAAACCCTTAAAATTTCACTTTGAATATTATCAATACGAATAGCACATCACGATGCTTACACATGAATTCAGAATTAAATGTACAATTACTAAAATATAAAAATACGTACCAGGACGGGAGATCAGAACCAGGTTCATCACATCCAAATAAGTTCATATGGTGTGCCACAGATTTTGAAGCTAAAGGTTCAAACCTCACTGGTGAAAATAAAATACAGTTTTTTTTTTTTATAGATTATGATTTATTAATCTATTTTAAGCAGATTTTGTTCAAAAGTTAAATTGTTTCCAACGTAAAGCAAGTATAAGGCATTTTACGACTGACAAACACTCAAAGATACAAATTTATTAAAGAAGTAAATTGCATGGACCTCGCTTTACGTTTGAACCGTTATTTAGTAAACTCTCTTTGAACATTACCAGGAACATAACAGATACAAATTCCGTACATCAAGTCCAAATCCCGACAGTTCTGAATGCATTTATTATTATCTAATAAAATATTGCATGAAATTTCTAAGTACGCCAAATGCATACATATTAAAATAAGGGGATGTGGCATGGTTGCAAATGTGACATTAATCTACCGGATATAAGCAACCATAGGTCACCAAAGAGCCTTCAACAATAAGCAAAACCCACATTGTATAATCAGCTATAAAAGGCCTCGAAATAATAAAATTTAAAACAATCTAAACGAGAAAACAAACAGTCTGATTTATCCTTTAAAAACAATAAACGAAGAACACATATGATAGACAACAACCAACAATTCAATTCAATTCAATTCAAAGTTTTATGTAACGTCAATATTCAATAAACGACAACCAATGAATTGCAGGCTCCTGAATATTAATCAGTTCACACACAACGGAGTCCTTTTCGCAGGGAGGGATAATAACGCCCTCTATTTATCTGTGTATATTCGTTGACTTATTTATTTACCTAAGATGCCATGCGGTATTCAATCATGGTAAATTTCATTTAAATAAAATAATAATCCTAATGGAGTGTTACCTTACAGGTTTACTTACATATATATGTCTCTCGTGGATCTAATTTAACTGCATGGCAGAGTAAGCTGTCGGGCTATAAGAAGAATGATTATTGTTAAATGTAAATCAAAACAAGTTTTATCAACATTTTGTTAAAAATTTCATTTAAAACAGTTTTTTTTTGTATTTGTATACTCAATATATGTAGTTTTCATGAATCAGTCTGGAAATTTGTCACATAAGTTACTTGTCATTGTTCATCTATATGATACGTGTCTCACTACAACCCACTAATGTCTGCACGTTTGACAGAAAATTCCTCTCTATTGAAAAAAAAATAATAAAACAATCTTCAACATTAAATATTCGTTCAATATACATGTATGTTATTCAAAGTTTTATTATTTTCACATGTTAATGCTGTCTAGTTCACATTTATTGATCTCGCTTAGTTCTTAGAAGTTCTGTTTAAATGTTGGTTCGACACTCCTCTAGTTTTTAACTTTTCAAATGTCAATATAAACTTTAAACGAAATATATAAAAATGAAAATACCTTTCCCTCCTTACCTTCTGTGGAACTACATTTGGCATCCGAATAGTAAGACCATATACATCATTTGTTTCTGTTACAACGGTCTGAATGATAAACAGAAATATAAATACTAAAACTTCACTACCGGACATGATAGTTATAACTGTGAAAGATAAGGGTAGTACGTCATAGATAATGAAAATAGTTATCATAAAATGTCAAAAGCTTTATACAAATAGTGCTTCTGGGTTCGGTCATTTTTAAATTTACATGTTGCGCGACAGGTTGCAAGTATCGGTCATGCATCAATGTATTCACAGTAGTCCTTGTTAACATAATCAAATCTTTATTACTTATTTTCATATGTAAAATTTAGCATCATTATGGAATAAAATTTGAAATACGTTTTAATAATTAATATTATTTTGTGTATAGACCTAGTTATCACATTTTTTCTGACAGAGGAATCTGTTTTGCCTACTTACTACAGTGTGTTGGATTATTTATATATATTATTTGGTCTGGACTTGTGTCGCTGTGTATAATTAATTGAAAATTCGGCAAACAGAAAGTGACTGCAGTGCAGATTTAAAAATTGCTTACAAACTACAACTCAATATTATCAAGCTGCAGACCAAATATAAAATCATTCCCTTTCATAGAAGCCAAGAAAACGTTGACGAACGTTTTCTACCCAAGGTAGTTTGAACAGACGGTCGGACGGACGGAGTTGAGCGATTACTAGTCGACGCAGGTTGAAAACACTTTGATCTACGACATAACATAACTATTTTTAAAACTTAACATTAATAGAATGATATGACTTATTAAAACAAATAAAGATAATATGCGTCGAACAAATACACGAAGTCTTATTGATAAACAACAATATTGACGAGATAGTAGATATAAAGTGATACTATTGTTATGGTATTTTAACGACATATCTACTGAATTTTAAACCAGTAATAGTTCAGTAACTTTAAAAAGAAATATATGAACCTAAGAAATTTAAAGAAATGTGATAAGGTAAGAAATTACAAAATAAAGAGCTATTATTATGATAGTGTCTTGTTTTCTTTCTCTATATACGAAATGGACACAAAGCAAAATGTACTAATTGCAGTCGATGGAAGCAAATGCTGTATTTATGCCTTGAAACGTAAGTTCTTATTTTAAAACCAACATGAAAGTTTGTCTTTCTTTATTTCCAAAACTTTGTACTTTAAAAGACTGGGAGATCATAAGAAAATCTACCGTTTTACTGCTTGATTAGAGTAAACACTCTTTAGATTCAACTTCATCTGGAAAGATGGAAAGGTTGATGAAACATTTGGGACAGCCAAAACGAAAAATCCTCGAGAGTTTTAAATTGCCGAAAATAATAGAACACATATTGTAATGTCAAATTTGCTTGTTAAATTTACGAAGTTTATCAGTGGTAAATAATTAAGAGAATATTTACGTAAAGAATCAGGTCCAATTTTGAAACTACATGATGAATTGTGAATGGTACCTTCTTGAGCTAACAGTCCGTCATATGTGTCTATATCCAGCTGCAGTGCGTAATTCAAAATTATGCATTTCTTGATTGCACTGATATCTTTCGTTACTGTTGCATCTGTTTCTCTTATGAACAAAGCTCAATAAATCAGTAGCTGTTTTGCACGGTTCCTTTTAATTTAGCAAAAACGTACCTAATCAAGAGCTGTCAATTTCTGTTAGACGATAACTGAAAGACGTTGATAATATTTCACTGAGGTTTTAAGTAATGGATATGTACCGAATGAATTGTAACCCTAATGTTACCTTTATTTCACAGACTTCTTTAAAGTAAAAGTTATGATACAGCATCAAATCGCTTTTAGAGTTTTAGATTAGTAACAGGAACTGAATATACTATAGAAAAAAACTGCACTGGTTTAATTGATTGGGAAGTGCTAAGGAAAACTTATTACCTTAATGGATTGATAAGTTAGGACCAAAGGCAACTGTTTTCATGTTCAATAGATTAGGTAAAACAACTTATTATTCTTAATATCCTACCTAACATGAAAATTTAGAGTGAGGGAAAAATATGAAATCAGAGAGTTTTCACTTTATATAAAATAAGGTCTAATGTCGGGCTAACATTTGTGCATCTTTTTGGCTGTCATGCATAAAAACAAATTTGAGTCTAAAAGTATAGCCGGGCCTTAAGCTATGTACATAATTGGTTAAGTTTGTTGAACCAAGGGTTTGCAGATCTTCACAAACTACTGAAGTGTGTAAAAGTTTATCAGTTACAATTGTTCTATATTCAGTATTTCCATATCGACTTTAAGTAACTCTCTGACTTTCGCATTAATATCTTGAATTTCATCATACACCATTCGATTTTCAAATGCCATTGTAATACATTTCAAATGGATGGATGACTATTCCTTTAATAAGATATGAACATTTTTATTTGTTCGTTGATATATTCAATATAGTATACTTATAAAGAGTTTGAATTACACTGATACATGTAATATGTGGCAGGTACGTTCGACTCCGATCTTAATTGAATAGATGGCCAGTTTTCCTTTTGAAGATCGGTGGCTCTCTCTCGGCACTCCGGCTTCCTCAACCATTAAAAACTGATCCCCACGAGATCGCCAATAGTGCTGAAAGTGGCACCAATCAATGTAATATGCAATAGAATAATACGCAGTTAAACACTTAAACGCAAAATTTTAACTGGCTTTTAATTATTGGCTACTTATTACTCAATTTTTTAGTGACACGTAAAATGTTGATATACCATTCAACCTATGCCAATATCTTTTTATATGTCTCCCTGCCTGAATTTCACATGTTGAAAACCGCTTGTGTCAACAGGGCAAGCGTCTCCTGCTATGAATGCATCACCTTTCGTGTGAATCTACACTCAGTAAAATGTCACAATAGGGAATAGGACACAATCATTGAATTAACGACTCAGATGACTATTCTCGTATCTAATGATATAAAGCCGCCAAAACATATCAGTTGGGAGTTGAGATACAGACACATCGTAATTGTCAACCAATTCATGACGGTGACTGTAAAAATTAATTTTTACCTGGATATGTATCTTCTTGATTGATTTATGAGATTTGAACTTCGATACACTACTGTTGACATGTCTGATGTTAAAAAAAACCTCAACAAAGATTCAAGGCCTATAATTTAGTCCAGCAGACTCGTGTTTCGTCTACAAACTTATCGTTAGCACTCAAATCAAAACAATTGGAAGGCTATACTAGGTAAACAAAAAGATAATCACAGTCTATATTCTTTTCCATCAATTTACCATCATCATGACCGAAATAGAATTTTAAAACAACAGAGAAGTATAAATTTACTATGAGCTTAAGAAAAGAAAAAATACTAGTAAGCCAAAACTTTTTATTTTCTGTAGAAATTATTCAAAGTTTCAAAACAGTATGGAACTAAACGCATTTATATATAGCACCGGGTATATTATTTAGAACGAATGAACACTGTGATGATGATATACTTATCTGCTAACTGTCCATAACGTGATGGCAACGGACGATAAAATATTATAATTTTTTTTAATCTTTTTTGGTGCACCTATGAAAATAGAATTGAGATAGAGAGCATATCACTGTGTTGGAAAACTATTTATTGTCTTGTATTTATTCACTGGAATTCTGATTGACATCAATATGTGTGTAATCATCTGGAAAGTTTTACCACATGATGACCAACATATGATTTGATTAAAAGATGTTACTGTGACTTGACTGTTTTCAAAAAGTCTTCTATATTCTTAAGAATCAGACATCATTTGAATTAAAACATCTTATATTCAGTAATAAAAGATATGTGAAATTACAATACGTTGTTAATAAGTTTCCATGGGAGATAACCTTAACTCATCATTCTTTTGAATATAGGACTTTTCGAAAGAAAAATTTATTATCTCCCATGGAAACTTGCTAACAACGTATTGTAAATTCACTCATATATTTCTGAATATAAGATGTTTTAATTTAAATGATGTCTGATTCTTATGAATATAGAAGACTTTTCTAAAGAAAAATTGTCTAAAAGCTTAGTTTAGACATTTTTATAGCAATTCAAAATTACTACCTATCACCTTTAGCATGACAATTACAATACATTGTTAGACTGATTTTTCATAATATCATTGAAGTGGAATTAAAGTCTTATATGATTGCAAGGATGCTTTATTTTATCATTGTACACTTTCACGACTTTACTGTGGTTTTCTACAGCAGTTTGTTCAAATTTCTGACCAGTTGAACAGTTTAGTTTTATAAAACAATTTGCAATTTGGTCAGAATTTTGAGTAAGTTGCAATAGGGGGAGAGCAACACTTACAGTCAAGTCACAGTAATGCATTTGATCAGTTGTAATGCATGCAGGTGTTCTTTATAGAAATCTTTTATTTTCATTGATGTTTGCTTCTCATGCAGAATTGCTTAATATAAGGGGAATAATATATATTATGCATCGGCACGTCATTGTACGCTATCAACGAACTAACAATTACAAAATATGTCCTAACTAAATTGACTGTGTGTGATAAAAGTCATTATTTGGTCCATTTAATAACATTATGTTTTACGATTCTGATATATTATCAAAATTGTGTTTATCCTTTTCTCTTTTTCTCTTTTTATTTTGTTTGTCAACTGCACCCAATTTATTTCATCTAAAAACTGAATATCAAGATTGCTAATTACTTATCGTTAACATGTTAGATAAACAATATTTGACCTTTGAAAGTCCCTTATGGTCAATGTTCACAACCAAACATTATCCCCCAAAAATTAACAAATATATGAATAAAACACCATATCACCATATATAGAATCTAAATATTGTTTTTTTTGGCACTTCTGGTCATAGCCAATTTCGTTATGTTAGTTAGTTCCTAAATCATATTTAGTTTGAGGTCACTTAAATTTGCAGTAAAAAACTGCTTTCATAATGTTTAAAAAGAGTTGTAAGAACTTTTCAATCCATCATGATACCAAACGAATCGAAAAAAAATAATATAATATTTATCAACTTTACACATCTAAATAGGTATGCAAATGCAAACATGAAAACTCCGTAGAGGCAACACTGATTTCAGAATAGAGTCAATCAAAACTTTCTTTTAAAACATTTGACAGAAAAATGTCTTCATTTTCATTTTCAATTGATAAGTAGACAATATGCATGAAATGTACATTCCAATGCAGTAAATCAGAAAAGACAAAAAAGAATACTTTGACTTGAATACCGCGTCATAACTATTCCGCACTGCAAAACAAATTTTACGTAACATAGTTGTACGTGTATACACGAACCATTGCGGCTTGGTAAAAAAAGTTGACCATTTGTCAAAAAATTTTACAACCGAAAAGCTATGGCTTATTGTTATTTTAATGATTTGAAGTATGTATGTCATTGTGCTTATTTAGGATAGAACAATGAAGTATGATATTCGCAGAGGCGGATTAAGGCGGAGGGCGTGCCCCCCCCCCCCCCCCCCCAAAAAAAAAAAAAAAAAAATTTGCGAAGCATGGGTTGTCCTCAGCTTAATAAAGAATATTTTGATAATTCTACCTCAAAAAATTTAAGTTTGCGCCCCCATAACCTAAAATCCTGGATCCGCCCCTGGTTTGAACATATTATGTATGTTATCGATATGTTATGACAACGTTCTGCAAGTTCTTTGTATCTTAGCTTTATGTGTAAGATACACTTAAAGAAAGCTGGTTAAAATTAAAATAAATCACAGGGTCTGCTTAATTGTCTTCCTTAATACGATGAAATGAACTATTCAAACGGATAAGGATAAAAGCTTATTATTCCTTTGGATTGTTTGTTTAGTTTAAACATATTTTATTTTCAAAATATCACAAAAAGGATTAGACACAAGTTAGTCAAACTTGGATCGTCTTCTCCTAAGATACAATATTAGTCAATAGAATTTTATAGCATGCAAATATCAAATTTATTATTACATAATTCTAATCAAACATCTGTAATTTGAGAGATTATTTGTTAACGAACCTGATTCAAATAAAACTCATCATAAATACCAGGATTGAAATTTTGTACGCCAGACTCGCGTTTCAAATGTATTCCTTAATTATAAATTCATTATCAAACCATTGAACAATGTTGCATAATTTAAAGAGCACTGTCATTGTGAGCGCAGTAAAAAGTATCTGATAGTATAATAGATGTATATCTGATAGCTTCAGTGTGATAATAGATCCAATTGAAATATAGTTCATATAACTGAGCTGTAAAATATGTATTTACATGAATTGAATTTGAATTTGCTTTATGAAAATGTGTGTACTGTTTTGAAGATAAAAAAAAACGAAAAATAATGATCTACATGATTTGCATGATATATGTCAGTTCGTGCTATACTGCTAAACAAGAATATTTTTTTTTATTAATGGTTGGTCCTCAAAGAGTACTCACAGCATACTCATCTCTAACAAAATGTATGGCTTCATCTTTACCACAATGATATGACTGTCATTGCATGTAAAAAAAAACAAGAAACAGAAGATACCAAGGCTTCAATCAAAAAGCAAAAAGTAGAAGAAAGAGAGACAACTCGATTTAAAAAACGACGAAAAGTTAAACAACAGACTTCAAAACTGTACATATATGTACGCTGATTCGGCGATGTCACAATTGAGGAAAAGAGGACGGGATTGTGATTGTGAACATATCCATGGTCATCTGTTACAGATCACCCTCAGTTTTTGGTGGGGATCATGTCGCTCAGTCTTTGGTTTTCTATATTTTGTTTTGTGTAATGTTGTTTGTCTTTTTGTCTTTTTCTTTTTTAGCCATGGCGTTGTCAGTTTGTTTTCGACTTATGAGTTTGAGTGTCTCTTTGGTATCCTCCGCCTCTCTTTTACACAAATATTTCATAACGGTCTACCAACTCGTATAATCGTCCATGAAACGTTCGAAGGGATGACTTCATCTTTACCGCATGGAACTTTTGGTTCATCAGTATTCATTCTTTGACGTTCGATGGGTTACATGGCTCAACCAAGTCACCAACCTTTGAATTATTTAATGAGAGGTCAGCTATCTATATTGCGGTACATAAAGTTAAAGGATGATGCTAGCCTCTTTTCATTCATCCCGAAAAGCTCCTGATTGAAGTATGGTTCTTACGAACAAAGAAACAAGACAGCAAAAAGAGGAGCACAGTTTTTCCTCCAAACGTAACAAACATGTAATTGTTGTCGATAAAATATTCAAGAATCTTAATTTTGCAAGTTTCAGAAGAACTATTTGTTTGAATCAGAGTGGGTTTTTGTTGCAAAGTATGATGCGTCCCTTCCTAAAACAAAATATTTGTATCTACATTGGACATTCTGATTAATGAATCGAAGTTGGACTTTTCTTTTAATTTGTCTTTAAGATAAGAATGAACAATCTGTGTAAAGGGTACAAAAGTCAATTTGTTATAACAGTGCTCGAAGAAAGAGACTTGTATTGTTTGCACTCTTACAAATCATTGGCATCGTTTAGCACCAACATCTGGTTCAAACCCCCCGCCATAGTATGTATAGATTCACAATTACTCTGAAGGTCGGTTTTGATTGACGATAAAATAAATGTTTATATTATGGAAAGATGTTTCGTGAAGCATTTGACAGAACCAGCAATATAATTTATTTGTAGAAACGCTTGTGTAATTTGGTATTCAGTTAAGTAAAGAAATAATTAATTCTGCATCTTTGGTTGAAATTTCAAAGTATTATAGAACAGATTTATGATTGTTATATCCAAGTGAATTGGCAGTAGTACTGTACCTAATTACTTTTGAAGCACCTTAATATGTTGTGTGAGTAACAAATAGAAACGCTATTGTTTTTGCATGTACTTTAAGAATTCTAAATGGCAAACTATATGTGCACTTTGTTTAATCCTGTTAAAGGAGGAAATGTTATGCAACTATTTATTTGATTATCAAAACCCCTTATGTTATATCTCCTGGCTAGGAGTGAGGCTACATTGCAATCAACTTTTCTGTCTGTTCTTCCAAAAAATACATGTATTTCCGTCACACTTAACTCCGGTATTACCGAACAGAATGACTTCATAATTTGGTCGTCAGTTTGCTCGATGGGTTGTAACCTGTGAGCGCGTTTTGGATCTATTAAACACCTTACTCCCTGTTTTTTTGATTACTTTGAATTATGATTGGGGGTATGCGAGATCGTTTCATAATACTTCTTGGGTACTTACACTTGTCGTTAATATTGACAAAAATCCTTTCTGGGGAATATGTTCCTTAAATATATTAAGTTTGCGGGACACCAAATTCGCAGTAATGTAAACTCACCTTTCGTACTAATAAACAGAGTTGCAAACTGAGTTTGATTTAATTGAAGGAATCATGAAGATTTAGATATTCATTATAATGACGTCAATATAAAGGATAAACCATACATTATATTATCTATTCTAAATATTCTATTCTATTATCAAAATGTAAAAGTAGAGATTCATATCCATCTTTGTGCATAAAAGTTAACATTGCGCAGATGATTACATATGACTGGGTTCAGTATTGTAGGCAATATCGATTACTGTATAGAGTTCATCAAAACCTACCAAAAGATAAAAATGAAAAATGTCTTCGTTTTCATTTTCAATTAATTTGTAGACATTTTCATACCAGTTTATAATAAATCGGTCACGGACCAGTGAACAATGTTAATATGATATGCTGTTTACTATAGAAGATATTCGTTTAAGTGCATGAATTCAGCCAGGCTTGCCTTTTTAGCCTATACTAGCTGACTGAGTTTATGATATTGAACTGTTATACTGTGAAAGTACTTCTATTCGTGGGTATCAATTTTCGTGGTTTGAGGAAAAGTTACATGATCGTGGGTTCTAAATTTCGTGGATATTAGTGTTTCTGAAAAAAATCGAGTGAAGAATTTGAAACGAATTCGTCAATAAGTCTCATCATAATGAGTTGATTGACGATTACTGTTATTACAATTGCTGGGGATATGGATAATTGCCAATACTTTCTACTCTAATAAAACTAACTATTTTTCATGTAATGTCCTAAAACCAAATTTCTTATTCTATTCGACGCCAAAAACAAAGAATTGGCAGGACAAAAAAGTTTGTACACAGATTTGTTCCTTGTATTAATGAATCCGGTGTCTTTCAGGAACTTGAATGCTTTCATAATGTTTATTTTCTTATGGTTTATTTTCTGAAAACCAACAATATCGTTTATTTACTTCTTTCAAAACGGCGCATCTATATATATTAATCATAAGTCGAGAGAATTTGATAGTGCTAAAATTAGGTATCTATTGTTCGAAGAAAGTCATTAACTGAAATGACAGTTAGATTAATTTTATATATTTCTTATCGATATTCTATATATCATCAATATTAGAATTTCTCCTTTACATGATGAATTCTGCAAGAACAAAATATTATTAACTCCATCCTAACACGTAACATGTACAAAATAAAGATTAGTTTCAAGGCGTGTTTTTGCAATCAAAATACCAATCTGACGTGGTGACGTCAATGAATTTTGAGAGGGTCACTTTTTGAACCTGAATTGTAAAAAGTTTGGTGTGCTCTGGTATCGAAGATGATATGTTCATCAGATACGATATTTACTAATTGTTCTCTTTAAATGTTTAAATGACTAATGAAACAGTAGCCATACTATCAAATATTATTCAAACGTATGCAGTGTGTCTATAGGGATTGTATCTATAAATTTACTAATTAAATATGGAAGATCGAAAGATATCAGTTGTAATTCTAAGTGTGGATGGTAGCGATGTTTCTCTTTTCGCGATTAAAAGTAAGTATATGTTATATTGTCATTCCGAATTTCATCTTGAACGTTGTCGTTTCTTTTATAGTTTAAGCAAACATGATAGTCAAACATTAATGTCTGAAACAAGGACATTGTTTTCTTGAATTTTAGTTAAATACTTCCATTTTGAATTTATTTTAATAGTTAAATACATGTATAACTAGAATTAACTAGATATTTATAAACAATTGTTATGTCTTTCAACTGATCTTTGACCTCTCTACTGCGTAGTCTAAAACATGTTACCTTTTTCCGTTTGTTGTCTGTATTTTGTAGTCCGAAATTGCTCTGACGTGTGGCGGTCTTTCTAGAAATTATTTGTTCACGACAAGTTCTGAAATGGCTGTCAGACGCCGGAGCAATCTCAGATTAGTGTTTATCTGTTACAGGTTTCTAAAGTGGTTAAACATGTGATTTAAGGGCGATCACTCCTTTATTACTCGTCAGAGATTTTCGGACCCTGATTATAATGTATAATATCTTGACATGTTTAACATAATTTCATTTACTTATAGTCCATATTTTTCTGTTATGGCTTTCGCGATTTTAACCACATACAGTTAAAATGTGAAAACTCCTATATGAAGTAGCAAACATAGATCCAAAACAACTGAACATTTAGCCACTCGTTGCCTGCTTCTGGTATCTATAATTCTATCTAAAAAGGTTTTCAACTTGTCCATTTACAAGGTTTAATGTTATAGGTTTATGTCATTTGTGATCTTCGACCCTGTGCGCTATTTGGATTTTTTTCCTACAGGATATAACTTACAATTACAGTAACATTTTCCACCTTTCAGATTCGCACTTGCTCTACCGATTTTCTGGGTTGAAGGGTTTACAAGGTTAAGTAACTGCGTAAGGAAAGAGAGTTCGGTATAAAGAAAAAGTTCTCGAATGCCCATTTGGTGGGTGGCCGATAACATGCGAGAAAGTAGATATAAGATGTGGTATGAGTGCCAATGAGACAACTCTCCATCCAAGCCAAAATCCACAAAAGTAAACCATTATAGGTCACAGTACGGTCTTCAACACGGAGCCTTGGCTCACACCGAACAGTAAGCTATAAAGGGCCCCAAAAATTACTAGTGTAAAACCATTCAAACGGGAAAACCAACGGTCTAATCTATATAAAAAACGAGAAACGAGAAACACTTATGAACCACATCAACAAACGACAACTACTGAAGATCAGATTCCTGACTTAGGACAGGTGCAAACAAATGCAGCGGGTTTAAACGTTTTAATGGTACCAAACCTTCACCCTTTTTCTGAAACAATAGTGTAACATCACAACATAGAAAGACACACTATAAAATATCAACTGAAATAGCTTAACTCAATCAAAGGACATATTAACACCATTGAACATACACTGAACAAATAAATTTGATCTATGATACAATGTAAATACAAAATAAATAAACTAAGGGAAGAATAATAAAAGTAACATGTTATATCGGTATGAAATGTTAAACAATTAAAGAAAAACAATATGCTCGAACAAAAATATCATCCATTTGCAATAACTTTAAACACAGGTAAATGAAAATAATTTTGTTGTTAGGTATACGTGTACAGTTCCAATAGAAAAAGGAAATATTTTTACAAATAAATAATTTTGATGTTCATAGTACGAAGTGAAAATTTATAGTAATACCAAACACTTATCAAAGCTGGTATATAGACCAGATATAACCCTGAATAACATTAAATAACAAAAAAGCAATACAATTAGTATCAACAGGTCAAATAAACAAGAAAGTACGATTTGAGAGTACTCGCAGTTACTGACAGCTAGATAAAAGCCAAAACAATTAATAATAACAAATCATGCATCAGAGAAAGGTCTGTTTGCTATATATGTCGTGAGACGACAAAAACGATGTAATTTAAAAAAGGTGGAACATGGTAATACGAAACAAGAATAGCAAGAAGGTCTTTCTGTCTGGAAACACGAATGAACTGAATCATCAAGATAAAGTTGAATAGTATTTAAGATGTACGACTGTTGTGTGTTTTACTTTGAAGCAATAGTACTGTTAAACTTTATATCTATTTATATATATTCACGAAAAATAAGTACAAAAAACGAGTGTTTTCTTCTCAAGTGCTTTCCTCCATCTGTAGGGAAATTTCAAACATATTTATATACTGCGTTTTGATTATCTTGGAATTTTTGCAATTGCAAAACACAGCAGGTGAATCATTTTCCAACTAATTAGCCGCTTCAGTTTGTATTGAATAATGAAAGAGACGTAATAATTACGGTATTCACAGCTTGTTTAAAAATGAGTGTGTAAAGGTTTCGGCTGCATATAAAATATTCTACATACAGATGATATATTTTATTTATGTTACAATATATTATACAAAAATCAAAATACATGGAATAGATTTCTAGATAGAAATACGACGCTTCAAAATGGCTATATGACACGTACTTTAGTCTGGGAGAACATGATTTATTGATTAGTTGTAATTAGTTTTGAACTAGTTTTCAGTAACTCTTATATCGGTGCTTTGTGTCTATTGTTTTTATGTATCGCTCTATTGAGTTAAGCCATATGCAACTGATTTTTACAGTGTGTTCTTATGGTGTGCTGTTACACCACTGTCCCAGGTGAGGGGAGAGGGGAGTGCTCACAAACTTGTTTATCCCCGCCACAATCTTTATGTGTCCTTCAGGAGCCGGTAATTTAGTAGTAATCGTTGGTTCATGTCTGTCATAATTGTTTTTCGTCAATTGTATTGTTATAATTTAGGCCGTTTGTTTTCTGGTTTTTATTGTTTCACATTTTTCGTGTCGGGGCCTTTTATAGCTGACTATACGGTGTGTGTTTTTCTCATAGTTGAATGCCGTTCCGACCAATAATGGCTGATATCCACGCCATTTGAACTTATGTGGATAGTTGTCTCATTGGCAATCATACCACATCCCCTTATTTATACATGTGTAAAATTGAGAATGGAAATGGGGAATGTGTCAAAGAGACAACAACCCGACCAAAGAGCAGAAAACTGCCGAAGGCCACCAATAGGTCTTCAACACAGCGAGAAAATCCCGCACCCGCAGGCGGGCTTCAGCTGGCCCCTATAAAAAAATGTGTACTAGTTCAGTGAAAATGGACGTCATACTAAACTCCAAAACATATAATTGAACTCAAATTAAAAATCATACAAGACTAACAAAGGCCAGAGGCTCCTGACTTGGGACAGGCGCAAAAATGCGGCGGGGTTAAACATGTTTTGTGAGATCTCAACCCTCTCCCTATACCTCTAGCCAATGTAGAAAAACAACCACACAACAATACGCACAGTAAAACTCAGTTTAAAAGAAGTCCGAGTCCGATGTCAAAATAGGTAACAAAAGGAACTAAGCAAAATGACAATGATACATAAATTACTAGTAACAAAGGACTTCTAGCAGTTACTGACATGCCAGCTCCAGACCTCAATTAAACTGGTTGAAAGATTATTTCTTCATCATATGAAAATCAAGCACAATCCCTCCCGTTAGGGGTTTAGTATCATACCATCATAAAATATATGAGAAGAACATAACCCGTATCATGCCAACAACTGGTTTTAGAATAAATGTGTTTATTTCCGACGCAAAGACCCTATGAGTGAATCAATATTAATACCATATAAGTCGAAATACATACAACACAATGACCCTTTTATTTTACGTATCATTTTGCAATGGATTTTATATTAATTTTATTTTCATCGTAGAATATTCCGAAGAATTAATGGAGTCAAATCATCATGTCGTTGCTGTTTTAGTAAGCGAAAGGACAGATGTTGCATTTAGTGGTGAGTCTGCATGCATGTACACTTTTTGATATGTATAAAAGATTAATTGATTGATAGATGCTTACTTTACGACACCTTAGCGCAAAACACTACGCCGTGGCGAGCATGTATCTCAAGACAGAAAAACACAAATCTTCGCGAGTCTTTTCATAGAACTATACGTATGATAATATTCTAAGACGGCAATTAGTATTGTCTGTAAGCTGACAAAATCATTCAGAATTGTTTTGTTACATTGAAGTTGCATTGTTCCGAACTGTAAAAAGAAATATTTACAAATGTGAAATTATTTTATTCGTTAGAACAACAGGATAAGAATCTACAATTAATGTTGTCTGCGTTGTCTTGAAAATTACATTTCTGACATATTTGGGAAATGAATTTCTATGAATGCTAACTTATTGATCTCCAGTATATCAAGGTAAAACGTACTGTGTGCAAAATGTTCATTTCCGGGTTTTCTTTTATCATCAGGAATTATTGAAACCAAAAGTTGGAAAGCAAACATTCATAACAAAAAAAAAACAAAAAAAGAGTCAAAATCCTTCTACTGTCAACTTTGCCTAATGAGATACAGTCTTTGATTTCGCACAAATTACGAAATTTATCATATTTGAATTAAAAAAAAAGAAGATTACTCTCGCAATAAATCGTGACCAAAACCGAACATTGATTACACTCGAATACTAACAGTTTCCTTTAGTGATTTTAGTGGTATTATAGTATAGTAAAACGTAAAAAAATGCTGCCTTCGATGACCATTTCAGGATATATCATGCAAAATTACACATATTCGTAGATACTATTGTAGACTAACAAAATATTTGCAATACACAGAAAACAATCTGCTTGGCGATATTTCCTTCGTTAACCGGTTTATCAGTATGATATAATTATTTCACATTGAAAATTTTAAAAGAAAGCAAGATACGATAATTACAAATCGATAGTAATTTTCAGATTTTAAAAATATATATAAACTCATCATAGATACCAGGATTAAAATTGTGTACGCCAGACGCTCGTTTCGTCTATAAAAGACTCCTCAGTGACGCTCGAATAAAAAAAGTGAAAAAGGCCAAATAAATACGAAGTTGAAGAGCAGTTATAATGTTTCTTATTAATAACCTTTATTTGGCCTTAAGCTAAACGTTTGAAAATCCTAATACACAAAAATTATTGAAAGGACAAAAAACAGGCCTTAAAAGGACAGACGACGGCTTACAGACAATTACATAAATTCTGGCAAGAATTGTACACGTAACAGCGCTTTCAAGACCGGACGGATGGAAGATCGCCCGGTATTTCTATATCCTCAGCACCGTGTTTCGCGGGATACAATTGAATGTGCATACCACGCGACCCTGGATTCAAATGTAATTTTATGTAACTTTTTTTTATTGGCTACTATTTATCGTCAAATTCACAAATGTTATGGTGTAGCTAATGAGTGAGTCGCGTTAGTTTATCGCTGAAATTATTACAATCCATTGGAAAATAAGACACAAATTATAGCTACCTCAATAACCCTGTTTAATAAGATTTGTTAAATTCTAAGCGCCACAATCATCATCAGGAAATTCGGTGTCAAAGGTTGGGAGCAAAGAAATAATGTCGGGCCTGAAAAGACTTGCCAAAACTGCACAAGTGAGATAAAGTTTTATCCGATATGCTTTATCCATTTTAGAAATATGAATTTGGGAATAAAATGTTAAGTGAAACGTGTCAATAACGAAATACCGAACACTGAACGGGTATTCGCATAGATCGCAAAATTTCACCTTTCAGCAATACCAACACAAGTCTTGAAATAGATAAATACTATTACTAATAATATGTTATAAATAAGTTTATTTGTGTTTCTAGCTATTGGGCCATTGGACAAATCTTTAGTAAAAGCACTAATAGAAGCAGAGGAACAAAAAATAAGTGAAAGGATCGGTTGTGTTAAGACATGTATGGATGAGTGTAAGGTAAAGCAGTAATTACATGAATTGAATAAAGTATGCAAAATCAATTTTTAAATTCAACGATATGATCCCTATTTTAGTTTTAGTTGTGTGCTCCTGGATTAAAAAAATGTTCTAAATACATGATTTTGCCTCGGAGGTGTCGTAGTGAGGGGGTTCAACCCGGTAGGTTCAAACTTAAGACTTGAAAATTGGTATTTGCTGCTTCCCGGCTAAGTACGCGGCATTTAGGAGTAAGAGCAAAGACTGTTCGCTCGGATGTAGAAAAATATGTTCGGTAGGGTGACATGTCTCCTTGCGGACTGTTATCTTGTGAACTTGAAAATCCGGCTCAGCATGTCGGTCTAGTATAAAGCAGGGTTTATATTCATACCACATTATCATGTTCTTGTCCTGAATATACATTAAATATGCCACTGAACGTCAAACCGCCATCCATCATCTTCATCTATAAACATGTAAAACTAAACAAGGTTTGATATATACTACTTAGAAAATATTTTTTGTATTTATTAAATTACGACATGTGCCACTAGTGGAGCAGGAACTTTTTACTCTTCCGGAGCACATGACTACTTGTACACCAATCGTTTTTGCTGGGGTTCATCTTGCCTAATTTTTAATTGTCTGCATAATATTTTGTGGTATGTTGTTTGTCTGTAATTGTGTTTATTTTCTTTCTTCGACTTTATATTGCATCCTTGGTCTCTTCTTATCGTGTCAGATGCTAATACTCCGATGAAAAATATGTTTAATATTCATGAAAATTAAGTAGGTGTTAGAATCAACGTCCATTTACCAGAAGAAGTGATATATACGCATATGAAAAATGGTACCCAACATAGTTTGCATAATACATATGGTAGTTTTTACGACTGTTCAACTGTATTTTTAAAGGTAAAAGTGTTTCAAAGAATCTTTATTCGAATCAATAGTGTATTGGTAGAAATTTGGGTAGGTTAAATATTTAATTCCATGCACTTTTTTGCTTTTGCTAGAATTGATTCAAATAATGAGCACTTAAAGCAGTTGGACTGTCCATAGACTTTTTTGCTTGGTAACCTGTCGAAAAATTATATAATCCGGAGTCAAAAGTCGGTAATATGAAAATAGTCTATTTATCGCTTCCATGTCAAAGGGGCACTAGCTACGAGATATATAAAAAATCTAAAATATGTTTTTTTTGTTCAATCATTAATGAAAGTGAAATAGTGAAATAATAATTCGCTTTTAGCAACCAGATGGTTCAATTTGGTCAAAATAAGCTAAGAAACATTGATGATGAATTATTCACTTGCAAGTGAATAATTCGACCTCATTGAATCCGTATTCATATGACCTTCAATTTAACCCCTTAGCTAGATATGGATAACGCATGAATTGTGCGTGTTCGGTTATTTAAAGGAAAAGAATGTCAACATTGAAAGTGAAACAAATATGGTGGCCGGATGCGGCCATTTCGCGTTTTCGCGTTTTCTCCTTTCACCTTCACGCGAAATCGAGAAATCGAGAAATCGGGAAATCGGGAAATCGAGAAATCGAGAAAGCGAAAACGCGAAAACGGGAAATTGATTTCTCGATTTCGCGTTTTTGCTTTCTCGATTTCCTGATTTCCCGATTTCTCGATTTTCCGATTTCTCGATTTTGCTTTCTCTAGTACCTGATTTCCCGATTTCCCGATTTCTCGATTTCGCTTTCTAGATTTCTCGATTTCCCGATTTCCCGATTTCTCGATTTCGCGTTTGCAAAGTGAAAAGTGAAAGGCGAAAACGCGAAAAGGCGAAATGGCCGCATCCGGCCACCATAGACAAAGGTGAATCATTTGATTGACTGATTCGATCCACAAAAAATCATTCTTATACAGGTAAAAACGATGATCAACATATATTTTTAATCTATATTATGAATTTAAACAGACCTAGAATATCCAATTGCACGAGTTCACTATCTATTTATATCTATATTTATGTTTATACGGCTTATATGACCATCGGAGGTCTTCGGAGGTCAACTCGATAGTTATTTAGATGGCGTCTAGACTAAAATAGACACGAAACGAAGCTACATATTATCGAGCCCATGCCCTGTAAACTGTTTATTTTAGACTTTTTATAATTTGGATAAATGTTTTACATTGTTATAAATCAAATATGAGAATTTGAGTCAAATCGGTGAACATGAATTTGACAGCTAGTGCCCCTTTAATATACTGATGCATTATATTTTTGTTCATTTTATTCGCTGTGTCATATCAATTTGTAAATTTTAACATGTTTAAATACTAGATACACGCACTAGAGATGACAATCAAATGAAATACACTAAGTCTTGTTTTCGATATAATATCTGTATGACTTGATTGTACCATCAAATGCTCCAGTAATAATTAATCACGCCCAACACAAATAGGCAATTATCTACTTTTTACAAATTCTGAAATATTCACCAGAACTATGTGGAAGCGATGATTAACTTGAATAGTGATGCGATCTAATGTAAACGTGACGATTACACAACGTCTGCAATATTTGTAATTTTACATAGAGGAAAAAAGGAATTACCCAAAATATTTGACACCAAACCACGCCTAAAAATCTACCACCAACATCCGATTCCTCCGAAATATTACACATATTGTAAATGGCATTGTTTATGTTTCAGATAAAAGGGCAAATTGTCAGAGCATATGGAGAACCGGGTCCAGCAATTCTGGACAAAGCAAAAGAACTTAAAGCTAGCTTTATCGTGACTGGATCCCGTGGGTTAGGAAAGCTGCGAAAAACATTATTGGGTAGCGTCAGCAGTTACCTGTTACACCATGCACACGTCCCTATTGTTGTTTGCAAGATGCCAAGTTGAGAAATATTATTTACAGTATATGGCACATCATTTAACCTTATAGGTTTTCGCTCGGACATTGGCCTGTTGCTGCTATTCTATATTGTTGGCATTCAGATTCGAAACGTTATCGAAATAGTGAAACTGAAATAAACAAGACTCTGTAAATTTTTCGATGTTTTAAATAAACTTATTTAAAAAGGCTATCTATCTAACACTGTAATCAAATCTTTGAATCTTATATTTATCGGTACAAACATTGATTTTGTTATCAATAAATTAAAACATAGCTAACTATTGCTATAAAGCTATGCATGACCATTTGCAGTCCTATACATATTTTGACATTGCACAAGGTCATGTTTTTCTCTTCAACTGTTTATGACGTCTTTACCACAAATCCATTTTATGTGTACTGATTTATATTCTAGTCTATCCCAGGTCAGGCTGAGGCTTGAGCGCGAGCAAAAATGCTAAACCCCGCCATATACTGTATGTGTCTGTCCGAAGTTAGGAGGCTGTAATTCAGTGGTTGTCGTTTGTTGCTGTATTTCATATTTGTTTTTCGTTTACTGTTTTTAGATAAATCAGGCTGTTAGTTTTCTCGTTTGAATTGTTTTACATTTGTCATGTCGGGACCTTTTATAGCTTGCTATATGGGGTATGGGTTTTTCTCAAGACCGTACGGATGACCTATTGTTGTTACCTTATACGTCATTTGGTCTCTGGTGGAATCTTACCAATTCTTATTTTTTCTTATATCAATTAAATGCGGTTTAATAATCCACACAATAAACACCATTTCTAATCTTGTTTTTAAACTTGTCATTTTTCGGAATACATGTATTTCACCTGACACTACGGTACGTTGCATGAGATTCCATCATCATTTTTTTAACATTACTTAATATTGTTTCGGATTTATCGTATAATAGCTGAAACAAAGGAAAATCCAGGAAAAGATAGAAGTGATTCAATGTTATGAATGCTATTAAAAAAATAGAACACAAAACAAGTCAAATTTAGTCCGAGCATCAATCTAATACTACACGCAAAACAAACTATATACAATCTAAAAGGATATTAGGTGACCTATTATTCATTGCCATCAGTAAGGCGTAAAATATAACACCAAGTATATTATAGAGAATTGAATGAACTATCTCTGTCCAAGACCCCGGGAGGAGCAGTATGGTACATTGCAAAACTTCTAATCTTTTTAATCAACATGCCTCATTCATTAATAGTATTCTTTTATCATACTCCTGTTTGAAACCAATGAAATATTTTATTTCATTTTTATTTCATTTTTTTTCAGAATTTGTTTCTAATATTGTTTACTAGACGTAAAAAAACCAACTTATCATCAATCAATAATTCATTAATATGAGAAATATGTATCATTTGCAGACTGGAAACATGTGGATAACAAAAACCTGCCATTTTCAAATAAACATAAATCTAAAAATGTAATCTGCATATCACCGTAAACATATTCTATATATGAGGGTGTGGATGGGGTTTACAGAATAAAGATAAATGAGCAAAAAGTATAAAGAATAGAGAATAATTGGGTGCAAAAGAATAAAGAATAGTAACTGTCGAAAATAAAAGAATTGGGTAATAAAATACTGATTACAGAAATGAACGATATACAGAATAAAGAAATCATACCATTGCAGAAAAAAAAAACTAATAGTAAAATCATTTTCATGAGAATTTTACAGAATAAGCGTTATTTTTTAAAGATAAAGAAAAATACCCTAAAAGTTTTAAGAATTCAGAAATTAAGGGCCCCCATCCAAACCATAGAAGAGAGACGAAAGTTACCAAAGGGATATTCACACTCATAAGTCGAAAACAAACTGACAATGTCATGGCAAAAAAAAAAGAAGAAAAACGACCAAAAGACAAACAACATTACATAGAATAAAGACAGAGAAAAACGAACCCCACAAATATATATGCAGATCCTGCTCCACATGTGGCACCCATCGTGTTTCTGCATATTAGAGGTATGATGTATATTATTACATGTCATGCATTTATTGTCATGCGTACATCTCTTTGGTTTTCCAGTAAGGAACAACCCTTTCAAAGAAGAGGAGGCGATCTCGAGGTGACTGTGCTTTTAGGGTAAGCAAAAATCGATTCAAATGAAAGGGTCATTATTGCGTGACTTGTCAGTAGTATGTTATCCCCATCCAAATGTTTTTTGTGCAATGAAACGTTTCGAATGGTTTTTTTTTGGGGTAGAAGTTCAGAAAATTTGTTATTGTAGACCTTTATAATTAAAATTTTGGTGTATGATTTTTTTTCACGTTCAAATCTTTAACTTGACTCGTCATGAAGATCGTTTCCTTGTTCATTTTTCAATGAGAAACACTATCATTATTTGAGTACGTGGTTGTTCGTTTCTAGCGGAACATTTGAAAGAGTCCACATATTTAAGAACCTTATAGATCCTTATATCATGTTTATACAGTTATCGTGTTTTAAGGGCATACGATACAGTAGCAGGGGCAGATAATAACGTTTTCAAAACTTTTCGTGTTGTTTTCGCGACGTTGTTAATCAGAACGTTGTAATTTCGCGATGTTTCTAATAAGAACGATTACATTTCGCGACGTCGCTTTAGATGGAGTCACATTTGCGGAAATCCACTGACGTCATAATCCCGATTGCGCGAATTTGAAAAAAGTACCTGCAATGAAAATCGGCCAAATCACGAGAATTGTTATATTTATTCATTAATAAGGAAGTCAACAATATTAACTTCGAATGGGAAAAAAATCAAATCCACATTCTTAATTTTCTATTTCTGTTATTTTATATAGGAAATGAATTAGAGATATGAAAAACATAATACGTCGATGAGAGAGAAATCCAACTACACAAAAAAAAAAAACATAAGTAATTTATATAGTAACTTCACTATTTGGCTAACTCTAAGTCGTAATGAGAATTGTACGGATAAATTTAGCAGAGACTATCAACAAAATAACAGAAATACGTAATAAGTAATGACAGCGCATCTTACTGTTCCTAAAAGGTACATTAAAGAGTTTAACGGCATTTTTAGAATTTAACCCATGGAATATATAAGTGTATGAAGAAGAATTGTCAGTTAAAATGACTCAGTTATAAGCCCCGTATTATAGACCAAAAACAAAAACGCACCCGTTGATGTGCTAAACATATCCTCTTTGTACATATTGAGAGAGAAAAATCGGCACACAGGAATTAGGTATTTGACAGACCAGAGTTGCAACTCATTGATGTTAAGTTACTGACCAAATACGAAGTCTTTTTGTAAAGTAGTTTCTCAGATAAGAAACAAAATATTTGTTGGACCGGACAAACAATGTGGTTGCACTCACTCCTAGATTGAAGGTATAATACAGACAAGTAATTCAATGATTATATGTACCGTAATAAAAAAAATACTCTGAAGACAAGCTTAGGTAATTTATCTGTTGATACAGAATCATTAAATTTCATGCTCTAATGTCGACTGCTGTATGAAATGTTATACTACACTGTAATTGACTAAGCTGACCCGATTTAATGTGGGTATGATTTTGTGTTCATGTAATGCCTATAGAGTAGGTCGTTAGTTTTCTAGTATGAATTATTTCACATTTTCATGTCGGGGCTTTTTAAAGCTGACTATACGGTGTGGCTTTTTCTTTTTTTTTGTGTTGAAGGCCGTAGGGTGACCTTTAATAGCGTTTATCTTCGTCATTTGAACTATGGTTGATAGTTTGCAATCATACCAAATGTCCTTATTTTTATATCACCCCCCTTACTTTATAATTGTTGCACATTTTGTCATGTCGGGGCCTTTTGAATAATTAAAACTATGTTCAAGCTGTGTTGTCTACATGAATTGTATGACTAATGTCGGACAGAGATGCAAATTAATATTTTTATTATATATATCTGTCATGTACAAGAATTCGTTCGGTCTTTAATGCGCATGCGCTAGTAATTGTCCACAGACGGCGATTAATTTTACTATAGATTTGTATGGGCAAATAGTTTTTATACCCGTATTACTTTAAATTAACTTTTGAATATCTTCTTCGCGCCGTTAAATAAAGTTTATTAAAGGTTTAAACTGTGTAATGATGTAAATTTTATGAAAATAAGATATTTTAAACATCCGTCACTTTTGATTTAAAATTTGCTACCATAAATAGCGAAGTAGCCCGTTTAATGTATACAGAGAAGGCATTGTTTTGCGAACCCCTGACATTTATTTGTTTCAATAACAAATAGTATTCGTTATTTTCTTATTTTGTCGTCGATATTTTTATAATCTCCAAAGACAGGGAAATAAAATGATATTTTTGCCTAAAAATTAACTTTTGTAATTCTCCCGTCTTTTTATGGTTGAAAATTGAAAATTCTTTAATTTGTCATGGAATAGAGAATTTTACACGCTTGGTTACGAAGTCATCGGCAAACACTTATACTTTTATGAATCGGTATGATTATATCCTTTAAGACTTTGATAAACAATATAATTGTGAATGTATACATGTTTACTCTACATTAAAGTAGCAATACTTGCAATACACAAGGTATACAATGGAATCATTATGTTGAAAAGTGAACTTCCAACAATTCACAATCTTAATATATTTTTCATTATTATGACAAAAATAAATTTGCTAAAAGCTTCAAAGAAAATCTTTGACAAAATACACACGTATTATTATTAGGTTAGACTGGTGTTATTGTAGCACATTGTATATGTTTTTTTTTTTTTTTTTTTCCACTTTTCAATCATGAGAGAGGATGAAGTATACAATGGAATCATTATGTTGAAAAGTGAACTTCCAACAATTAACAATCTTAATATATTTTTCATTATTATGACAAAAATAAATTTGCTAAAAGCTTCAAAGAAAATCTTTGACAAAATACACACGTATTATTATTAGGTTAGACTGGTGTTATTGTAGCGGATGCATGTGGAAATTAAAATCCTTCGGATTTATGACATAAAAGAGGAATCTTCATCGTTATTCCATATATCGTGACCATATAAAACATCAATTGGATTAGGTTCTTTGGTTGCACCAGCTATATTTTTAACAGAACAAATGACATGATTTTTTTTAATTATTAAAATTTCAATACTAGTAATTATTATTCCATAATTTTTCCATAACCATAAGCTAACCAACAATAATATCTTCCCTGAAAAACACATAAACTTCCCAATACTATGATAAAGTTTAAAATATGTTTTTTTAACATAAATATTTACGAATTAACTTTTTCAACTACATGTACTGCATAAACCTACACACCCCGGGATACCAACATTGATTTGTGTGATTCAAGTAGCTAATTAAGACTGTTCTCCACAGGGAGTGATGCGTGTAATCTGACCGTATATATATTATTAATTTCTCACACTTTTCTTATCATTTCAAGTTGAAATCTTTCAGAGTTTTATCTTTGACGAGTTTTTGACTTGGCTAAGTTAGCTACATGTATTTGGAAAATACCCCGTGTTTACTTAATACTTTGTCATAGTTCACGGAGATCCGTTACATATATTCCTTTAGAAATAAACATAATTATAAAATGATTAATTAAAACGAATATGAAAATAAATAAAAAAATACTCGAAACTGTAACATATTTTGAAAAGTTTTAATTAAAATAAATCGCATAATGGATTGTTACTTGATTACACAACGACGAAATCATAAAGTCTCGCAACATGCATGGAGGTTTACATCTACTGTGTCAAATAAAAGATACACACACGTATTCCTCATTATCAATTTAAAGTCTAAGTAGACTTATAAGTCCATCTTTTTTTAAGAGGCCATAGTAAAAACAAATGTCTTGCTTTAGGAACGGACACATCATATTTTAAAAAAACTCTTAATTCGACAAAAATGTTGAAACTGTGAAACTGACATGATGTTTGATTATTTTTTATTGACCAAATGTTTTTTTATTATTATGTTAGGTTGACGTTTTATTTTCAACTGAGACCATATGCAATCCCATTAGAAATAATTATGGTTCTCTTTTCACCGACATGTCCCTTTTTTAACCAAGCTAATGTTTAAAGCTATTGCTTTAAAGTACATTGGGAAATTCCATTATTGTATGACAAATATTCTACAAATCATGATTTTGCATGGACAAGACTTTTGTGCCAGTGTGTGGCTAGTTAATTTATCATATCCAGTATAAAAATTATCTCAAGCAATGGAGTATAACATATATGGACTTCTTCCATCTGGCAGTAAATGGGTATTCTTTATAGCTTGCTGTTCGGTGTAAGCCAAGGCTCCATGTTGAAGGCCGTACTTTGACCTATAATTTTTTATTTTACAAATTTTAACTTGGTTATAGAGTTGTCTCATTGGCACTCATACCACATCTTCTTATTTATATTCGCTTCATTGTGCTGAATGTATAAACACGCAGCCACGTCCGATGCCACATCTCCTTTACGTTAGCATATATATATATATACAACAACTCTTTCAGGGGTTTGATGGCAAAAAATTCATTTTCGAGTTGCATTCGAAATTTCTGTTCTTCATCGTATTCTTCCTAGTCGTTCCTCTTATCATGCTTATTGAATTATTGCTGATTTGTTCTCGTTCCGAATATGCATGAACTATTTGTCACTCGACGCCAAGCAAAACCGTCAATCATATCCGCGCATGATATAAAATTAATCGTTTGCACCTTAAGATGCCGAAAACTTTGCAGTAGAATGTAAAAAAATTTCTCATTTGTATTTCAAGGCGCATTCACACTAAAATTGTTCATTCTTTTTTATGTCTCAACCCTTCATGGGAAGCTTGTATTAATTCAATGGACAACCGACTGAATAAATCAATAGCATCACTAAAGCTTAACATGATCTTTCAAAGAATGTGCGATGGGTGCGCTGAAGGTTAGAAAAAGAGTTGAATTGAAACGGTATTGAATAAAGACTACGAGCTAGTGGTTGTCATAGAATGTGGACATACTGAGTGTTTTAAGTCAAGAAAATAGTTATAGGACACGGTGGTACTATCTGGATGCACAAACGGGAAAAGTTACCCGAGATGTTGAGATATTGAAATATAAGCGAAAAAAGGTTAAGTTCCGCTTAACTTCTATAAAGGAATTTAGCCTAACTAAAAAAATGAGTGTTTAAACAATCTCTGCAATTGTTTAGTCATGACACAGTCTTTCGGATCAACTTGTACTTATTATATCTGCTAAAATGTAAAATGAAATTAGAAAAAAAACTTTTCCAAATGAAAAACTTTGGGATTCATGTCTCACATTGACAATATCACTTCTTAAATGATTTTGATGCGTCCAAAGCGCTTTTCTGTATTTACCTTTATTTTGATATCCAAAGTTATAACACACCATACAATTAATTGGTTAAATGTGTCTTCTTAAAACTAAGGAATATAAGTATGAGTATGATGGCCATAAAATCAGTAGGACATCATCGTTTTCGAAGCAATAACATAAAGGTGTTAATTCTGTTTATTTATGTTTATCTTACTACCTTTACATATAAAAGATCATAAATTTGAAATAGATATTTAACCAAATTTGATTACATAATACTTTTTATTTATTATTAGTGGCTAAAGTTATGTATACCACATGTATTGAAGAAGTGAAATCAATTTTGTTTTAAATCGTTCTCTATTTTAAACTTAGATGCATTTCGCCATCTTGAAGTTCAAAGATGAAAAAAAGAAGCAAACATTTCACTAAGTTCGTTAATAGTTAAATTGAGTTAATATGAGTTTATAATTTTTCTCTGTACCGATGTAATGCATTGTCTGTATGAGAATCAAAATATATATAGTCATTCAACCCGTGAGACATGGCAAAATTTAGTATTTTAGGTTGGCAGATTTCTTTTTTTTTTCTTTTGTCTTATAAAATCAAATACTTCTATTTTTCTTAACAGAATTTGCATGTTTAGAAAAATGTTCAAAGATTAAGAAAGAAATTTTTTCAATAGATACGCATATATAAAAATGTAAAATAAAAACTAATTAAAATTATTATATTAAAACCCTAATAATTCTAATTTGATTCTAAACTCGGTTTCCTATTAAGTTACAAATTATTATACTATTGGATTAAAGCGTGGATATCGATCATCAAACATTCAAAACCTGTTGTGATCCGATATTTAATTATTTATGTACAAGTTGGCGAGCAAAAATCAACACGTTCCTCGGAAATACTGATAAACTCGTTTCCCTTTAAAGAACATTGAGTTACCTCCCTTTTTTGAGTACGAGTTGTCTTTCTTGACCGAACTAATAGTTCAGTATGTTTGTTTCCGAACATTTCTTTTCTAAAAGTAATTTACTAGAATACTTTTTTCTATCCGAGTTTCGAAACAATTCATAAAGGTTTGGCAAATATGATGCTATTTTACGAGGAGCCAGCTTTATTAATTTTCATGGTTAATATCATCCCCCTTACTTTATATTTGTAATAACATAAGCAACACGACGAGTGCCACACGTGGAGCAGGATCTGCTTACCCTTCCGGAGCACCTGAGATCACCCCCAGTTTTTGGTGGGGTATGGTTGCTTAGACTTAGTTTTCTATGTTGTGTCATCTGTACTATTATTTGTCTGTTTGTTTTTTTATTTTGGCCATGGCGTTGTCAGTTTGTTTTCGATCTATGAGTTTGAATGTCCCTCTGGTATTTTTCGTCCCTCTTTTATATTACTAGAATACTTTTTCTATCCGAGTTTTGAAACAATTCATAAAGGTTTGGCAAATATGATGCTATTTTACGAGGAGCCAGCTTTATTAATTTTCATGATTAATATCATTGGTTTAAAAAAAACACCTTGGCTCTACCATTGAAATTGACAACGTAGTATAGTGAACGGCGGGAAAGATTTCACGACGTTGTTGCGAATAAAACTTATCCCAACGTAGTTTGGCGCCTTATTGGCAAACGTCCCAATAAAAATTAAGGTTTATTGCTTTTATTGAAAAAACAAGCACATGGACCCCCAGTTTTTTCTTTTGCAATCGATCAAGTTCTGTTTCAAGAACGCTCCGCCAAAATTTTAAGAAAAAATCAACGATAGAACTTTTTCTGCACTTCTGTGTAGACGCAAAAATATTTTCAACTTCTTTATTTCACTTGTATTAAAAGAATTAAGGATATTATTATCTATTTCAACCGTTAACTTGTTATAGCATGCTGATGCAATGGATCAAGGGAACATTTTACAAAAAACCCGGTTAAATTATGACTGTTCGTTCAAAAGTATTGGTACTTTCCTTAAAAGTCCTTATTTATGAAATTTCAGGGTTTTTCCTTCAAATATGCAAATTTCGAACCAAATTATCTCAAAAAGTAAGTCATGTAGGTATATTTTTCTTTGCATATTTCAAAAGTACGAATCGAAATTGACCTTCTACCAAAATTTCAAGAAAAAATCAACGAGGGATCTCTACTGTATCGTATGCCCTTAAGTAGATAATAAATACCAATTACATGTATGACTTAATTACATGTATAGATTTGTATAATTCTCATATAATTCCAGCTAGGTTAGCGGAAAAGGCAACGTGTACGTACTTTTACATAGATTAGAGATGTCAACTACAGCTACGATTGACAGAAAAGAAAAAATGTTTTTACGTTTTCTTAGCGTAAAAAATTGTAGTTTACTTAATTTACGTTTCACAAGCTTATCTAATCTAGCAGATATAACAGAACTGACAATACAATTATCACTGATATGATTAACTGCGTTGCACACGTGTTGCGACAAAAATATACATTGTTTACAGTTATACACTTTGTTGTTACTGACAATTGACACTTTGTACCAATACGACCTTGCGATAAAAATCGTACGCTGACCTTAAATTGCACCAACTAAAAACTAAATCCTAAATGTGAAAATGGCCGAAGAGAAAAAAGTGGTGGTTATAGCAAGTGATGGTAGTGATCATGCAAAATTGGCATTGCAAAGTAAGTACTTGTAGACGTAATTATGTTTTAAAGTAAATAACTACAGTAGGTTTGAAAAGGAGAAATTTCATTGTAATTTCATTAGAAATGCAACTGATCAGTTAACCATGTTAACATTATGTTGCGTCTTTAAACTTATTTTTTTTTTAGGTCAAAGTTTTTTTTCCCATATGTATCAGGTTAAAGGGTTACACGAATGATATAGTCTATAGATACTAAATTATTTAACAAAACGTATGTCCGACTGTGTAACCCAATGAGGATAACGAGACGCCATTGTATAGTACCTTAAATTTGTCCTGATAAACACGTGAAAGGTGAATTGAGCGTTCAGGTATTTAAAAAGATAAACGTTTTCGTGTACATTTCTTTCATTATAGAATATGCAACAGAATTTTACCAGCCTGGTAATTTTGCAGTCGTTGTGTATGTTGCTACGTACACCGAAATCAGTTATGGATGTAAGTATGAAGTTTTATATCACGTGTTTTATATATATGATCGTTCTCTGACTCTGATGGTCCTTCAAAAGTTATTATGTTTTCTGATATAGCGGACCACATATTATCATGAAAATATCACAAGGACCATACGCATAAAATATCTATACTTTAAATAGGGTGCAGGTCTCTTCCTATATGGGTCATTTTCAAAAAATGTCGAATTTTGAAATTGAAAAATTTATTAAAAGTTACTTATTCAAACAACCCTCTACATAAGCAAATCAAAACAAACAGTACTTAAAGAACAACATGTTAAAAGATGCAATCTTAATAATGTCATACAAGAATATCTTGAAACATTTTTTGATAGGTGGTACAATATTTTGTCTCTCCTGTTACCATTTTCAAAAGAAATTTTGGGTTTAGAAAAGGTTTAGATAAAATTTTAAGCTTGTTTTACATAGCCAATTAGATGGTTTTCAAGAGAATAAACTTCTATATATATTCATTCTGTAAAATAATAGATTATTTGCCAATTTTCCAGGTTGTACTGAAAAATGCCTCTAAAAATTGGTTTTCAAAGGTTGTAAAAATTACCACCAGTAATGCAAGTCTAAGATAGCAATTCATATTGTTCGGCATTTTTTTCTCTCTTTCAAATAAACCCAACATCAAGTAAATCCCTCATAAGTTAGTTTACTTTTCTCTTTATTTCATTGGTAACAGGAACGTACGTTTATGATATGTCACTATATAAAAGTCTATCCTGTTACCTTTTTGTCTATCCTGTTACCGATATCAGTATTGCACCTGCAAATGCTTAATTGGGAAGAATAAGACGTTATAACTTTAAGATGAGCTCAAACAACGAAATATTTCATTCGTTTTGCAACTATATGTTAAGATAATTTTTTTAACGACGTTTCTGTCTACAATTGTCTATCCTGTTACTGTAACCATAGCAACCATAGTAACAGGATAGACATAACAGGATAGACAAATTTCTTCATTTTTGAATGCTGTTGTGAAAAGACTACTCCCTTTGGTGAAGTGATTATGGTTTTCTGTTGTGAATTTGATTTACAACACGATATTGCACTTTTTACAAGTATACTGTTGGTGTAATTAATCAAAATTGTTGGTAACAGCATAGACATGAAAAAAAGTACCCTCTATTTTTTTTTCACTAAATGTCTTAAAATTTCTTTTCTCTACACTGTCGTACAAGAAACGTGGTGTTTTAAATGTAAAGGTAACTTTGAACTTTTGAAATCAACATTGACTGATTCGATATTCATAGGGAGAACAATATCACGGCTGATTTAAGTAGCGGTAACAGGATGGACATGAACCTCCCGTACGCTGATTGAATTTAGTTTGTAGATAATATATTACATATAATGATTAAGAAGCTACGATTTTTCGTTAGAGTAATTATTAACGTTCTTAAAAAGTCCCTTTTGCAGATATCAAGGCGATCAGAAAATCGGGAAAAAATCATTTGCAATGTGTTTTTCTGACCCTGTACGCACACAAATACCCCCAAAATCGGACTTAAATACATTTTAATCTTATCAAAATAGATGTAAATCGTGTTTATTATCGATGTTCTGAATCATAAATCATTAGAAATACAAATTTTAGCATGGGTGTACTGAAAATTCGACATTTTTTGAAAATGACCCATATCATACAATTATATAGCCTTTGTTACGAGGTTATATTATTAATCGAATATTTTAAAGGATTTGTGACTCGTTAAAACTTATTCACATGTACATTTGTATTTGCTCAGTTTGCACGCCAATACTGTGTGTTTAGCTTTTCGTAGGTCAAAAACTGCATATTGCACAGGGTATACACTCGGCATGTTACTAAAAATAGATTCTAGAAATCCCCAATTTTACATTGTTCATGCAATAATATAACAATTGTAGCCTTTGGTTGAGGTCAATACGATGTTATATCGACCTCATACAAAGGCTATAATTGTATAATATCGACCTAAAGAAGCATATAATTTGACTGAGGACGGAGTATAAGGTCGATATGCTTTTCTAGGTCGATATGACATCGTATTGACCTCAACCAACGGCTACATTATTAATCAACTATTTTCAATGTAAAAATGGGGATTTCTAGAATGTATTTTTAGTAACATGGGGCCTACTGTATCCTGTGCAATATTCTGTTTTTGACCTGCGAAAAGTTAAACACAACAGTGTCCCAACAGTATTGGCGTGCAAACTGAAATACAAAATTACATGTGATCAAGTTTTAACGAATCACAAATCCTTAAAAATATTCGATTAATAATATAAAGGTATACATAGACGTGCCTCTGGTATGGGTCATTATTTGGAATGTCAAATATATCAATGAGGTGCAATTTCACGGAGGTAATTTATCAATGGGTAAACATTTACATTTCAATGAGTCATATATGTTCATCGACTGTTAAGATGTCTGTACAAACTGTGTTCTGATCATTTTATCTAATAATATGAATGTAACGTCTAAATAAGATGTCATGATAAATGGAAAATATATATAAATGGGTTGTAATTTCCTAATGAAATATATGAAGGATCTTCGCATAAGTCAATATACAAATGGGGATCTTTTTAAAATCCCAGCCGGACGTCTGTATCCAAATTTGTATGTTGAGACCCCCTTCCATGATATTTGTCTAAAGTTTTTTTTTAAATTTTACCCTACGCTTAAACACGGTACCGTGGGTAAAGTTCTACGATAAAATGATTATGTTTTGAACTTTTCCTGATCGTTGCTGTTATTCATGTTTCAGTGATTGTGGGTTTGTTTACAGTATATCAGAACGGCAATAAATCAACCATGATGTTGCTTAATTTTTCACTTATACTTTATACGCACCTTGCGATGTATATTACAACTATATTCTTTATTTGAAAAGTCGTGCAATTTAGTTTTGCAAAATTGTCCTGATAATTTGCTGGTGATGAAAAATAAATTTTACTGGTTCTGCGCTCTTTATTTTTGAGTATATATTTTTTTTCATATTATCAAAATTGATGCAGAAAATTTGTGTATTGATAGATATGACACCGAGCATACATATGGTGCACGCAATATTTCAGATGAGCAAACTTTAGTATATTTAGTTTGTTTTAATTTTTTTAATAAGAAAATATGAATATAATTGGCATGATTGCGATCATTTTGCATGACCAGCAAAATACAATGCAAATTATCCGCTACCTATATAAGATTAAGAAAGGAACATGTGTTATGATTGCCAATGAGACAACTATAGGTCGAGACCAAAGGACGGAGGTGTAAACAACTATAGGTCACCAATGAGCAAAAGCCAATACTGTATAGAAGCTATGAAAGGCCCCGACATGACAAAATGTAACAAAATTTAAACGAGAAAAACCAATATAAAAACCAATAAACAATAACAAATATGATAGACAGAAACCAAGAGCTCAAGTCATTTTAGCGAAAAATGCAAAACTACTAGGAGACAGTCATTTTAGCGCCGAGATATTCCTTTCACCTGTATTTCGGATAGCCCATTTTAGCGCCGGGTTATTCCGTTCGCCTGTATTTCTGATAAGCCCATTTTAGCGAAAACTAACATAACTAGTTGAAGAAAACTCATATCATAAAATTAGATACGACAGCATATATAAATCAAAGTACTGAAGTACTGAACATCGGATGACCGCAAGTTCTTGTGGATTGTCAAAAGCACTTGTCACAGAAAAAAAATCACATCTCTATACCTAAAACTGTGGTTAATGTACAGAGATATTTTTTTCTGAGACAATTTCTAGCGTGGATGATGAATAAATGACAGGAAATTCAACCTCACCGTAATAATTATTATATTGTAGTGATACAAATCAGTATACACTGGTTTGTTGTAATATATTATATTAATATAACAGTAACATGTATATATGATTTTCATCCATTTGTATATCATTCTATTCTACTATTCTAATAAGAGTGCAGTGCAAGTGCATGGTGGACACTCTTCTGTAAAAATTCGATTTTTCTAAAAGATTGGATATGAGTAGGCATTCATACTTTCCCGCAAAAACAATCTTCCATGCAGAGTTACCGGTCCTAGCCGGGATTGTCGCAAAATGTTCTTGAGATATTCTTCCGCATGCTTTACCATATCAATGATTTTTTACTTATACATGTATATATATATCTAACGACAAAACATTTTCATATTATCAATTTATGTTCTAAACAAAAATATTGTTATCAGTATTCATTGAAGAGATGTATTTATAACAAACGATAAGGAATGTTATTTTGCACTCGTTAATATCCGCGTATTTATCATGTTTATAGATCGGTTACAAACCCAAAACGAAAGTTACGTAATGGAAATCTAGGCGATAGCAATACATCGGAATGCCCTCACGGTCATCGCGATGCAAAAAAGAAGTATCGATGAATCTGTACTTTAATCTTTGTCAAGTAGTGTCTGTTTATTGTAATTGCAAAGGTTTGACAGAATAAAGATAATTATATGTATATTATATAGACAAGATAAAGAGAAAAAAACAGTTCCCATCACAATTTGAGGAACAGAATTGTACACCATAATTGTGCATTACGTACGATGACTGGGAAACAGATTGACACTTAAACATTTGACTTAAAATTTTAGACTTTTAGTGCTGAATTTATACGGAAATAATGTTATTTATATTGTACTGTCTTGATGATATTAAATTTATCATTCTTCTATGCATTGAAAAAAAATTCTGTCGCTAAGATGGCCTACACTTTAGCGTTAAAACGTCCTAACAATCCGCTTATACATCATCCGCCGCAAACCAATGACCAATCTGATTAAAAAAGGAAATAACGAAAACAGAGTTCTATATTTTAATTAGATTGGCCAATGACAAGCACTGAATAACATGCTCCTGAAATGGGACAGGCACATACATAATGTGACGGGGATAAACATGTTTGACCTAATAAGGGACAGTTATGTTACAGCACAACTTAATAAAACTGCAAAAGGCAGTTGAAAATGGTCATATAGTGTTATAATTAGTAATAGAAAAGTGTCATAAGCTTATGATTATCAGAAATATAACTTGCATTAAAAAAATCATTGAAAGTAAAAAAAAATATAAAGCGAAAGAGGACACTGACTCACACTGACTGACTAACTTCTAGACTTCAGAAGCTTTTTTTGTTTGCGTGCTTTCAGAAGTTTCCCCTCTACCCCTACTTCTAATTAATATCAGATTTGTGAGTTCGGTATGCCTATATAAGAGAATGTTGCTTGCTTTACATTTAGTGTGCTATGCTTATAACTTCGGTTAGTAAGCGAGCCACAATAGATCTGAATTTTGTCTGATTGACTTTCTGATGTTCAGCCTTTTCACTCGAAGCGAATTTATATGGAAAATATATATAAACGTCTACAAGAGTTTTTTTTTAAGAATTGACGACATATTTCCTACTTATATTCTTTCATTTATTACCTGAGATTAACATGAGTAGTCAAAAACATTTCAGATCTCTCAAATGAGGCAAAATTTGTTTGGTTATTTCCACTAATGAAAATTTGTCTTTCCTAAAATATTTAGGGAATTATGTTATTAAATGTCTAGATGTTAGACGAAAAATAAATTAATATACGTAATAGCGATGATAATAGTAATGATTTTATGGTTCTGGTCCTGCCTGGAATAAAATGTACATGATTTAAGGATGTTCGCTCCTCTGTTTCAAAATAACAAGGTTTATAAAAGACTGTTATAGATTGATAGAATATGAATAAGGGAACATAAAAATTAGAAAAAAATGATAGGTCCGTCTTCTAGTTTTTGAGATATAATCAGTTGAAAATTTGGCGGGAAGTGGTTCTCTCTAGATTTTTCATACATTTAACATTGACACCTTTTTCCTTTCAAAAGCTATGAAAAAATAACAAGGATTTTATTAAATTTTCAGAAATGACTTTCAAAACTATATGCAATAAAATTATGAAAAGAAAAGTAGGGGTCAGTGGGCAAAATTTTTATTGGTACTACATGGATAAAACTAGAGGATTCCGAATATCTGACAAAAAGTCAAAAACAAGAGGAGCGAACATCCTTAAATAAGGTAAAGTAATATATGTAGCTCTATAACTATATGAACATTTAATATTTCATTTCAATGTAAAAACTTTGTTTTTTTTTTGTTTGTTACAAATCAAAGTGTATTGTTTTGTGTGTATAAATGTCAAGCTTCCCATCAAGGTCCCTTACTTGGAACAATTAGTATTCTTATTCTCATTTTTATTCTTATATTATTAAATATAGTCCATTTGCACTCCCTTTGAGTGCCCTAAAAGGGAGTGCCCAACAGGAATAATCTTCAGAAGTTTTCACTTTATCTAGCTGTTGCACTGATACCAGGGGATCCAGCTCTTGTTCAAAGGATAGTGGAATCGGAGGAGGTCAAGTGCACAGAAATGGTGAAGAAATTAAGTAAAGAATTAGACGATTTGAAGGTAACAGCTGCATATTTTCAGCAGACGATATGAAGTCTTTTCACACGTGAAACTTCATTATTTAAAAAAAAATGTACAATTTATGATTTACAATCGATACAATTAGAATTGTTTTTAGACAGAAGAAATAACAACCTCTTAGATTGTATATTCAAAAACTTTGTCCCGATATGTCGTATATGTTACAAAGTAACATTCATGTATGAAGTATAATCTTTGTTGATCTGCGTTTATCATATTTTTGAAAGACGATGTGGGGTTTGACGTCAAAACCAAAAACATTGCTTCCAAAAGAGAAGCGGTCGCAGGTCACAATCCAGTTTAAACCCGCCACATACTTCATGTGCCTTTATCAAGTCAGGAGCTTGTAATTCATTGGTTGTCGTTGGTTTCTGTCTGTCATATTTATATTTCGTATATTGCTTCAGCATAAATCATGTCATTTGTTTTCTCTTTTGAAGTGTTTCAAGTTTTGTCATGCCGGGGCTTTTTATAGCAAACTATAAATACTTACATATGTTGATGGAATTTATGGTTAAGCACTGTTATAGTCCAGACATTTTTCGGTGGAATACCTTTTTCAAATTTTATGGTCTTTGGTAAAATATCTGAGAACAAATTTTTACCTTCCGAATCACTACCCTATTTTTTTTCCTGCCAGGAGGTAGGGAACAAGTATTTATTTTTTTACCTTATGTTGTTACAAACGACAACCACTAATGAGATTCTTGACTTGGGATATGCACATGCATATTTTGCGGGTTTTAGGTTGTTTGTAACCTTTGGCCTTCACGAAACAATATGACAAGAATACTAATTGTACGCAAATAGATACATTATGGTATGCAGTAACAGTTTACGAAAAAGATTTTTTTTTCCTTTTTAAATCAGATAGAAGGCGAGGTTGTGAGAGTAAACGGAGAACCAGGTCCTGCTGTTCTAGAAAAGGCAAAAGATCTCAAAGCAGTATACATAGTAGTAGGATCACGTGGTTTAGGGAAAATCCGGAGAACTATTATGGGCAGTGTCAGTGACTATCTCGTGCATCATGCACACATTCCAGTAGTTGTATGCAAATCAGAACATCACCATCATCATCATGGAGGTGATAACCATTCTTGATTACATCAAACATGAGGACTAAGTTTTGTATAGCGGAGGAAATGTTCTGTTTTCATTTTTAATTTGAAGGAAATGTGGCAAGGACAGCCATTTTATTTTACTGACTGATTTTCTTTTATGAAAGATATTCAGATAAATGCCGAGCGAAAATCTTTTTGATTCAGGATGAATAAAAGTTTATTGCTTAACTGTATCTGTATATTTTTGATAGTTACAATAAGGAACTTATCAGTATAAAATTACAAAAAAAATATTGAAGTAGAATGCAATGAAATCTGCTGCAAATGACAGTGCGATCAAAAAGTCATCAACACAAAGAGCGCAAAATGACATAATAGTATCATAGAAAATTTGACATGAAGAGTAAATTGTTTTAAACATTTCACTGCCACTGGGTTAATTTTGTTTTGCTGGTGTCGTTTTATTCGAATTCTACAAATATGTTCATTGAGCATGGATTGATTTTCTTAATCATGTTGTTTCAATTTATTTTTCATGAATTAAGAAACATTTACTTAACTAGTTATAGAATATATTCCATATTTATGAACTGGATATTTACAGTACCAAAACACTGGCTATGTATGATAGAAATTTCCGTACGCATGACTTGTGTCGGATATAAGTCGACGAGACAGCAATCAAACGACAAAAAATTACTAACAGACATCTAGAGGTCAACAAAAGACGGGTTTATTGTGTTATTGTGCTATGGTCATTTTTTGTATTCTTTTCTTTCATGTTTGCTCGTGTGCTCTGTCTATAGAGTGTCTATATGCCATTTTGTTTTTCTTTGTTGACATAGTTGTTTGTTTGTATAGTTATTAGGATTATAACACAATGTTAACTGCTGTACCCAAATTTTTGTTATTTTAACCTGTTATGTCTGTTTGTTTTGCTCACACATTGTTGTCAATATAATGGAATTCTATGCGACTGACAGTCATATAAATGAGAGGTTCAGCTAGCTATAAAACCAGGTTTAATTCACAATTTTTTACATAAGAAAATGCTTGTACCAAGTCATGAATATGACAGTTGCTTTTCATTCGTTTGATGTGTTTGAGCTTTTGATTTTGTCATTTGATAAGGGACTTTTCGTTTTGAATTTTCCTTGGAGTTCTGTATTTTCAAAGTTGTTATTCTACTTTATATAAACATTACCTCGAGCTCTAAACATGTTCATGAAAAACTGATTTAAGAGGATGAAGTTAGATTTTTATTGCAACCAAGTTCTAACTGAGTGTTAGTTGTGAAATCCCAATGTCAGGGTCACAAATGATCACGAATCTGTTTCGCTTGTCCAAGCCATGACAACCCTACTTTCCTCAATTGTTACAACCTCTCCTCTCTTCCCCTGGGAATCGGATACAGATTTACTTACCATCGTTTTCGGTCTCGTGTATTCCCGGTGTGGTATTCCATAAGTATATTTAAAAATGTCAACGACAAAAAATTAAGACAGCGTGAAAGGGGAAATACATACGGAGTAGACATGTACAATATCCAAAGTTTTTACAAAGATAAACCATTAGTAAGCAATCAATGAAACAATAGAAATGTTTTCAATTGATGTAAGTAACAAAACTGAATGACTATACATCTTCATTTACGAAACCTAAGGATAAAAGTTTTATCACCTGGTTTGTATGGTATCTACATGGTATCTGACACAACGAAGAAGGCTAACAATGATGATCAACCATTTCTATAATGCCGGTTCAAGTGTTGAACAAAATTGCAGGGTTGGGTTGAAAAGTCTCAGCTCGTGGTATTGAACTCACAGAATTTCGACATACACGACTTGGATGTAAAGAAGAAAGGGCAAAAGCTGTCAAATTAATGCTCACTGAATTGACTTAAATTCTCATATTTGATTTATATCATTCTATGTATACAGTCCAAATGACAAAAAGTCCAAAAGAAACAATTGACAATGCATGGACTCGCCAACTTCTACGTCATTTGGGCTCTCGGTCATAAACTTTACTCAGTACTCGGAGTACAAAATTTGTACTCCAAACAACAAATCCAGTATTTTTATTGGTTGATTTCTGAGTCGGAGTACGATAATCGTGCTCGAAATCTTTATGACCGCAAAGCCTGGTCTCTGGTTGAGAATTGTCTCATTGGCAATCATACAACACTTTCTTATTTCTCTATATCGTTATGGTGTATCAGTATTTTGTGCGTATTTTTGACTAGTCTAGACGCCAACTAATTAATTAACCATCGAGATGATCTCCAGAGACTGCCAATGGTAATATTATCCAATGCTAACATAAATATTGATATACAATTATACAAACCAGAACGTGCAATAGTATAATGACGATTTTTCTAGGCCAGTTTGATTTAATGTCATAGATTAAAAAATATGTATATCATCGTTTTACTTGTACAAGAAAGTTTTTTTTGTTTGCCGAATCAGTCAACGCAATGGTTCTTCCTGGTCGCTCCCTTGTTTCACTTATCAATGTTGACATTTTCTTTTCTTTTTAATGAAATGCAAGGGGATGGTATAATATATGGTTTGCAGCTTGATAATGTTGAGTTGTAGCCGAGCATTCACTTCCTGTTTGCCGTTATTTTGAAATTTTACAACTAATTGTAGAAGGAAAATTTTCGTCAAACTTTTCTTGGCTTCTATCAAGGGAATGAGTTACGAAGATAACGTAGATATCTCTTCCATAGTAGAAATAGCCTATAACAATCACCATGCACTGTGATTTTAAACCCACTTGTAAAATAACAAATAACAAACAAACTCATAGCTGATATTGCTGAAGAAATCTATTCCGAAGTTCACCCACTGATTTTATGTGGGACGGCCGGCTGATTTCATATTAGCAGGTTAATTAAGTACTTTGAGCTTGCTTTAGATACTTGCGGGCATTTTTTGCTTTTAGGTATTGTAAAACTGGTTTTCTTCAGTGCAGGATCGTTTAAGATTTTTGATAGGAAATCTACGTAATGGACATTTGCGCTTCAAATTGTATCTATTTGCGCTACAGAACATTAATTTGACCTTTTGGGATTTATGACTCTCCTGATAATTCAATTTTCTCTTTCGTTCATTTGAAGCAAATTTTCTGACTATTTTTGCAGGAGTTAATCATTTTTAGAGTTTGTGAACATTTCCCATTGACATTGGTAAATTCGGTTGAGGTTTTCTTCTTTTTTTTTAACATGGCCTTTGACATAGACTACAAATCCTTTGGATGAAGAGAATACTCGTCCACATCTTTTATCCCAGCGAATAGTCGTAGAAGCTCTCGGTCAGCAGCCTTCCGTTTGGCAAACAAATGCTAACTCAAGAATAGTTTACCTTAGCGGTATATGGCAAAACCTTTCGTAATTTTTGGCCCTCAATGCTCTTCGACTTCGTACTTTATTCGGCCTTTTAACTCTTTTGACTGGAGCGTCACTGACGATTTTTTTTGTAGACGAAACGCACGACTGGCATACACATTTTTATAGGCCAAGTATCTTTAATGAGTTTTTTTTTGTACAGATGATCGCGCTTAATTTTTCTGTCATCAAGTGGATGTTTATGTTGATTTTTCTGATGCAACATGATTTCAATTAGTAATGATTACAATAAATTCATTCAGATCTTAGGTAAAATGTCCCGTCAATTTAAGCACAGCTGTATCAAAATTCAGTGTCCTTTGTTTGGAGCATAAAAGTCCTTCCGCGTTACAGATAATAAAGTGCTATTTTCTTGTTTCGGATTTTGTTGTGATAAGATTACGACAATGTTGATAGCACACCAAATACACAATAATATAATGATACTTTCTTTAATGTACCTTTTGTCTGGGACCACTGTAATAGTCCCAGCTTTTGTTAAGGATTTTCATAGAAATATTAGAATTGTTGGATGTTGTTTTGTATACTTAAAAACGGGTTTGGAATTTCAAATTAGGTTAAATCAACACCGACGACGTATGTTCATCTTCCCGTCCCATGTCTTGAACCTCGCCAGTAAATGTCACTTTTATAAGGAATGTGGTGGAGTTAAGCATGTTTGAAGGCCGCACAAAACCCCCTAACCTGGGACAGGGAATATGAGCCCATATCCCTGTGAAGCCCGAATAACAATTACATTATACTGGAGTGTCCTGATTTTAACATTATATATACCATTCTGGTCTTCTTGTTCACAGGGTATATGGGTTCATATGCCCTGTCAATGCAACCAATCAAATTGCATGATTGACACAGATATTTATATATTACTCATATATCCCTATCTGTTTATTCACTAGTGAAGTCGTTTCGTTGCTGACTGTTTTAATCGTTTCGTTGCTGACTGTTTTAAGATTAGATAATCTTTATTTCAGACACTGTGTAATTCATACATATCACAACATTTTTGTATAAACGGTTTCTTAACAGAATAAAATTCTTTTGTGATATTTACAGTGTCAATTATATTCTATTAAATTAAATGTAAATTAAAAATTCACATATAAATGCAATGTACTATACACTTAACAATGCTGACGAATACAAAACAAATCACCACTAAAAATTGAACTTTGGTACCAAATGATTTTGGGATGCTTTCAGGCCACGTAATAGACTGAACATTGACTTTTAATAACTTCTTCAAAGATGAGACTTCATTTTTGACAAACATGCATATGTGATGAGTTAAACCCTATTTCAACTGATTTTTATAGCTGTTATAGTGTGTTCTTATGTCGTACTGTTACATCACTGTCCCAGGTTAGGGGAGGGTTGGTGCATTCAAACATGTTCAACCCAGCCATATTATATATGTGCCTTTCAAAGTCAGGAACCTGTAGTTCAGTGGTTGTCGTTGGTTCATGTCTGACATGATTTGTTTTTCGTAAATGGTTTTGTTATAAATTTGGCCAGTAGTTTTCTCAATTGAATTGTTTCATATTATTCATATCGAAGCCTTTTATAGCCGACCATACGGTATGGTGTTTTCTCATTGTTGAAGGCCGTATACGTACAGTTGCCTATAATTGCTTGCGATCCACTTTATTTGAACTTTGATGGATAGTTGTCGCATTGGCATTCATACCACATCTCCATAGTTTTATATATTACTGCATCCTGAATGCATAATTTTACCATGATTAATCGCACTTAATTAATCTCATTTCAGAGTCATGAGACTTTTATATGTGTTCTATATATATATATCTACCTA